TTACTTTTTTTAATACAACACTTAACTTTTAACAAGAGCTCTAGTGGGCCCACAGCCTCTTACGAAAATAATAGGTAATATTATATATAGATAGACGTATTAAATAATATTATTAAAATGAATAAAATACTTTTTAAGAACTTTAAGTAAAAATAAAACACTTATAACGGTTTAAAACGTGAAATATCGTAGTTAACTTATTAACTATTTATTCTATCTATAGCCCCACGTTTCGGATGTTTTGCAACAGATGTGGTCACGTAGTAATAAATTGTAAGTAATATAATATATTTCACGTTTTAAACCGTTAAAAGTCCGTTATTTAAGTGCATACACTACATACAGCACAATAAGGAGAATTATACAATAAAACCACCAAAGTTTAGTAATGTTTTCTACTAAGCAGCGTTTCATAAACAAAAACAGTATTCAATGTTAGGTCACAAAAGCTTTGCAGTGTGAATGCAAAATAGGTTAGTGCTTCAGTAGCCTAGATCTGCCGGATTTCCTAAACAATACTTGGATGGCTTTGTACACGCGATTGAGTCTAAATAAACGATTTCGTCGACCGTTTCACTTTCACACACTTTGTCAATTGTTCTAATAAATCGATAGTTTTTGAATTATTAACAACGATGCTGGCTTATGTAAAGTCATACATTTGGTGGGCTTGTTGAAATAATGGTAGAAGTGTATGGGTATAATCAACGGGTCATGTATTCGATCCCCACTGGGACCAACAATTTCTAATCAATTCATAACTTTTCTGAAACATTTTTACCTCTATCACAAAAAAAATGCATCGGTGCGTAAATTTACGTTACGATGTTAGTGTGTTGTGTACTAGTTATACGATATAATATAAAAAAATATGATCTTATCTTTGCATTGCTACTCATTTTATTTGAATTATCTTGAAATGCCTCCATTTCAGCATAGTTTTCCAGATAACCTAGCCACCATAGCCATAGTTAGATGCAGAACTTACTAAGTTAATACATAATTCTTCGCGCAATCGAGGAGTCAACATCTGATGATGCCGTCCACACGTGATGGCGAAACGTCGAGAACCTCTTCTCGCTCACATTGGCCGAACAGCCCGAAAGACAATGATATGCTAAATCATTACTATAATATTAAAGCATGTTTGTCTGTACTTTATCTAACGTAACTGAAAGCGAGACAAACCATAAATGTATATGAACTTTTGGTAGTCAATTGTACCAAATACTGTCTGTACATCAATCAATATAATACAAATCTGTTTATGCGAGTCGTACGTATTTAAATAAAACGCTTTACGGGTTAAAACGCGATTTATATTAGTTAAACTTATTTTTCATCATTTATATCGCGTTTTAAGCCGTTGTAGTGTTTTATTTAAATTGTACCGAACCTATTTTATGTTTATTTTATACAATAAATATTTTTTAACCTGAATAATTATATTGATATTTGTGAGCATCCAAATGCATTACTTAAAAACATCGCATAGATTGAAAAATAATTTATCTTTAAGCTTTTCCTAACGCGTTACTGGGCACAAAAGAAAAATTATAAATGTTGAATTTTTACTATTAATAAGACAGTGGAATTGATTAAATATTAAGAATCATTTCTATTGTTAAAAGATCTTCGTATTTCAAATAGATGTCATGCTTGAAAGATATTACATTAATCTGGACAATAAAATTGCGTGCTCCCAAGTGCTAATTACCTAAACATGTTTGGCAATAAAATAAACCAACTGAGATAAACACCTGCGGATATAGAACAATAAACATTCGTCTTGTATGCGAGATCCGCTAATTAAGGGGAACTTTATTAGTATGTTAAATAATTAAGACCTCCGCAAACACGATATATTCTGCATCCATTTCGTAAACGAGCAAAGTGGAAATTTATAGCAAGATTTCTTTGACAGGGTACCCGGTCTAATGGTGGCAATGTATGGCTATAACAATCCCGGGTCGTGTGATCGACCCCCCCCCCCCAGGTCCAACATGTTTCTAATTTTTTTATTTATATTTTTTTTAACATGTTGGACTTCATCTAGATAACTAGATATTAAATGAGTGGTGAAATATAGAAAATCCATCCGGGTAACGAACCATCGTACACAGATGAAAAAAGCCGCGAAGCATAATCGTGTTACGGTTTCAGTCTGAGGATTTCCGAATATCCAAAACCAGGGTATATCACCTACCATCAAGTGAACTACATGCTTGTACAGTATACAGAAGTCGAAACGTAAACGCTATCGCCCAGGCCTCAGACTTTACTTTTTTTCGGTCCTTTACTTTTAAGTCGAGTGGGCCTTTTATGACATGCCAATTTTCGATAAATTCGCGCTAATAATATTTTCATAACAGTGTCAAATTGTACACAATTTATATAATGCTTGACTGGAGACTGGAGTTACACTCTTGTATTAGTTATTTACTAATAATAAAGAATACAGGTCCAATGGTAACAATTAAACGGTTGTAAGTGTTTTTCACATCGGGTCCAACATTAAAAAAATTCTGAAACATTTTTAGACTTCGTCTTGAATATAAATAGACTCTGTCTGGGTCGAATCACACCTCACAGATAGAAAATCTGTAGAGTGTATGTTGTTGTTTAAATTACAGTCTGTGGATTTCCGAATATTTAAAGCAAAAAATTCGACAGTTCTTCAAGTTAATCTATACTAATATATAAAGCTAGAAGAGTTTGTTTGTTATAACGCGCCAATCTCGGATAGTACGGGTTCTAATTGAAAAATTATTTTTATGTTAGTTAGAGCATTTATTGAGGAAGGAGGCTGTAAAATTTTGCGCTGTGACTAATAGAAACGAAGATACTGCGGGAAATGTGAACAAAACGGGGGATTTTTTTTATTTCTGTGGGTATCTGATGCGTACGCTGCGAGAACGGTTCAAGACACTCAAAAAATATGTATAGAGGAATGATTCCTCTTTAAATAATAAAAAAATGTCCGCGACACTATATGTTTATCTTTTAAGATTAACTTGCAAGAAATACGGGACCCGAATGACGGGTCAAGCGACGGGACGCGACCGACGTCGTGGGAAGCTTAAATTTATAAAGATGTAGTTTGCAAAAACAATTTTGGATGTCCACTAACACTGAACTATTCTACGCGGACGAAGTCGCTCACACAGCTAATATGTTATATGGCTAGAGCTACCTTCCAACAATTGGAAACCATGCTTGCGTGTCTTTTTTCATTAAAGAATCATTTATCAAAGCACCAATACACCTTTTGTTATTCCAAATATATAATTCGGCTTATTTTGTTTGAGAGCCAACAGAATTGCAAGTCAATTACTGTATCAAATGGAATCAAACAAAATATTATATCAATAGCGGACTCACCCGAGCGTCCCGTCTATTAACTGTGGTTTTAATTGAAAACTCCACATACGTACGCGTCCTTTATGCTGCCCTGGTAGTTTTAATGGGGATGACATTTGGGACTTGGAGATATTTAAAACTTTTTACTAGGGAAGAAGAGCTTTTTGAAAGGTCTATAGAAATACAGTACGATACAGTCTGTGAGTAAGATGGAGTTTTATTATATAACGCAATATATATTAGCGCAACCACGGCTCCTGCTAAGCATCCGAAACGCCGGAAGTATAAGTTTAACTAATATATGTCGCGTTTTAAACCGTTTTGTGTTTTATTTCAATGTGCACTCCTCGCGTAAGGTACAGACAGTATTTAAAAGCGTTATAATTTTGTCAACGGACGTTTTTATAAGATTTTATGACACGCATGGTGACTGATAGAAAATGAAAAGGCCTATAACGTCTAATAAAGTTACGATCCTGACCTATCTATTAAGATAATCTAATAAGATTCAAGTTAACCTAGTGGAAATCGAACCCACGGCCCGTTGACCTATTAGCTAAATATCACAACTTACTCTAACTTCTAACATATCACTCGACTTATTTACACGTACAATAAAAACCGAATTTGCACAATTCATAATTGTTCCATGAAGGGTGGAAAGTTTGAAACAAAGCCATGACCATTACAAAATTGGGTTGACCACACACTGCTTCTGACTTAATGATTAGTGGAAACCACACAATGGTTATGACTTATCTAGGGACGAAATCGAAAACAAAATGGATCAGTTTTGTATGGAAAATTTATATTCTAGAATCTATTTTGTTTTACTGTACTATATCATAAAGGTTGGACCTAAATATTGTAATGGTTATATTGTTTGTATCGTATAGGAAGCTCCTACTACAAGTCAAAAAAGTGAAGTTACATCCCCGAAACAGGGCAAAGAAAGAAAACACTATTTATTTACTGTTTTAAGAATATATATGAAAGAATTAGGTTTTATTCGTCTAAATCCTACCTTTAACTGTAACCTTTCTAAAATAAATAAATAACACACGTCGAAATGGAACCTAAATACTAACTTGAAAATCAGTGTTGTAGCATAACTGTACTACAACACTGACTGACTGCAACTACGCAAAACTCATTCAAATTCAATTAAATCTTTTTTGAATAAATATTGTTTTATTCACATTTACTTCTTTCTACTATTGTACTAAATTAATGCCAAACAAAGAGATTTATTATTATTAACGGCATACCCTTGCTGTATCGATTGAATTTCTAAATTAAAAATGCATTATAAATTGAAAAACATTATGATATAGATGCCTGTTCAAATACTCGGACAGGATTTGAACAGGCATCTATAGGCCATGCCACCTGCCTGAGTTGTATTATTTTCTATTTATGATTAATTAATATAGTGCTATCATGAGCAATAACAAGTGAAAAATATTATAGGTTTAAATCAAATTTATCTCACACCTCTAACGCTATCTAATTTATATAAGTTTCAAGGCCGTGTGCTTAATTTGTAAAAATGTTGCATCCACAGATTAAACAAGATGAACGCAACGTAACGAAAGCTGGGCGATGAGCGGCGCGCGCGCGTTACGTGCCCTGCGCGTAACATGCGCTCTTTAAACGTAACCGCTTGCGCGGCGCTCCTAGAAGACGTGCGCTGGGACGAACCCACCAGCGTCGCAAGCCTAGCAGTCCTTGCGCTAATTGATGTACTTGTCATTACAGGTAGGTTATGAGTTTTAATGATGCACGACAGACAGCCATGGAGTTTACTGGATGGTAGGTGTATACTCAATAAAAGCCCTATTTTGGATATTCGGAAATCTACAGACTGAAACCGAAATACGATTAAACTTCACGGCTTTTTTTGTGTGTGCACGGTGGTTCGTGACGGAAGGATTTTGTTTTCGGATATTCAATATTCAGATTTCCAGACGAAGTTCCGAATAAGTTTAACTAATATTAGTGATATAGTATAGCATAGATTTATACATTTTAATTGTATTCATATCTTTTAATTATTAAGGCATTAATATCAACACATCATGCCAATGAAAGGACTCTCACGCTGAGTAAACGCAGTCACGTTTTGCGGCCGTCACGTGGTCATGATGTGACCTAACGTAATTAGGACCTATACTATGTCGAATATATTATGACTAGCTCATTTGGCATATTTGGCATCTTTTGCCATGTGCCGTTTTTAGATTAAATTTGATTTGAAAAGCGGTTTTAAAAGACAGACGTCTGTCTATCTTTTAAGATAATTAAAATGCCCTTTAGAAGTGTACACTGTCATGGGCATATTTTTAGATTTAAATAGTCTAAGAAAATGCCCAATGTGGAGTACTAATTCTTTTACATTATTTTTTGAGCATCTTGAACCGTTTTCACAGCGCACAAATTTTTGCACATTCCCCTCTGTCTTCGCTTCTATTGCTGCATCCTAATGTTGTATAGCCTAAAAGCTTCCTCGATATTTTTTATAATAGAAATGTCTAAAGATTTCTATAGTAATCTAGTACTAAATATAGCCTTTATTACTCAGTGATAATGTAGCTTTCTCGTGAAAAAAGAATTATTAAAATCGGTCTGGTACTTTTTGAGTTTATTCGTTACATACAAAAAATACAAATCTTTCCTCTTTATAATATTAATGTAGATATATCTACAATTTGACATCGTGGTTTAGTGAACATAGTCTAACATACCACAAATTACAGTTTTGAATATAACCTTATTTTAAATCGTTAATCGTTCAACATTTGCCTATTAATTACAGCTTAAAAATCAATCAATAATAACCATATACCCCATACGTGTTGTCAATTGTCAAACATATCAACACAGATTATACACACTATTAATACCTAGTCATTAGCGAGTTTAGACCTCAAAAGATCCGTTTTTAAGCGTTCTCCATAATTATCATGTAAGTGCTTTCAATTTTAATAACGTTTCATCTCTGTACAAATGTGTTAAAACGTAGCTTTTACGTCATTTAAAATTCGCTAAAGCGTTAAAGGAGTTCGGATTTCTTTTCTGACTTTGCTTATATGAATACGACGCCCTCCGCGACACAGTACAGTAGGTACCTACTTGCACGTTTTGCGTTAATCATGAACTATCATTCAGAACATCTAATAAACAGGGCTTAAAAAAGTTTTTATAATCATTATATACTAGGAAATAAATTAGGTAATTGAATTTAAATATAAAACTTTAACGGTTAAAAACGGGAAACTAAATTAATTAATATATAGTTAATTTAATTTAACTACGGCCTGATGTTTCGGATGTTTTGCAGCAGCCGTGGTCACGGTGAGACACGGTTGCAAGTTAATTATTATAAGTATTTTGTGTTTAAATCCTAAAGTGTCTTACTCGAGTAAACAACGCTTACATTGAATTTACGAAACGACGAATTGGTCTTGTCTCCTTTAAATTGCGAGCTCTATAGTTTGATTCCCGCTTGTGCATCCAACATGTTACGTTCGTGTCTTTATTCATTTCATGCCGGTGTTTCAGAATTAAAATCTCTATATTTTGTTAGCTTTTATTTTTTAGACCTTAGTAGCATTCGTTAGCTATTAGTGATCCTGCAGTACGAATTTGTTACTGTAGTAATATAAAAATATATAGTTGTATCACAGCCATAACTATTGCGTAAGCTTTATTTAGTACGCGAGGCGAAATATTTTCATTTGTTTTAACCTTCTTTACAGGTAAGTAAGCGATCAGCCGTCTGTGAAGATTAATGTTTAATTAAAGTTAAATTACCTCCAATGTTCTCTTAATTTTTAGTCACCGCTGGTCTGATGTTCGCATCAATTAACGACTTCAAAGAGTAACACAATCTAATTAGTTCATAGACTATGTACTCCCTTATGAGAACCAGTGAAGATGCACAGTTTATGGTTAAACAGGGTAAACTGAAGCTGGAACAAAGGTATTTACGAGTAGATAAGAGATATCAGCTAGTATTTGAGTATAATAATTGCTTTACCTTTGAATTATTACTTCAAATATCTCGTTTATCGGCTTTTCACAAAAACTTTTCTCTAAGTTCCAAACGAAAAGTTATAATGCCAATTTTCTTACTTATCAACTAAATTTTCATGAGAAAAGATTATCTTTAGCATTACTAAAAAAAGATAAAATATTAGCTAAGTATATTGTGCATTTAACGCAAGCGGTACACATAAAGTAAAACATTTTTAACTGTTTTTAAACGCGAAATATATTAGTTTACTTATGTATTTAAATACAGCCTAATGTTCCTTACGCTTTGCAGCAGGCCCTTGTATCTATGTTGTAAACGAAAGTGTTTTATTTGAATAAATAAACCTCTTAAAATATTTCTTTGCCCAAAGAAAGAAAAATCTAATCTTATAATATTATTAATGCTGGTTTCTTCGTGTTTTTTTTTCCAAAGCCCTCATGTACCCCTCAACTACAAAGCTCCACTGCACTGCGAAAAAGCCTCCGTTTCATAAGACATAATTTCAAGTCATCATTCGAAGTTCTAACATTATACATACCCCACGTCGACGCTATCCTACCATTTATTTTATTATACTATGCCCCGATGCCTACATAGAATCTAAGCGTATTCATTTATTCCGAAGTGAGAGAACCATTAGCAAATTACATTACACTGTTTGTGCAAGTCTATAGAAGATACAGCTATAGAAACACTTTGATGATGAATTCAATCAAAATATTTGAAGATACATAGATTTTTTGATAGAGAAAATCAAACAAGCCCATGCTTCACTTGATGGAACGAATGCCTTTGCGCTGTCGACCTATTTTGTCTTTGGATATTCGAAAATCCACAGTCTGAAACCGAAACGCGATTGAAATGCAGGACTTTTTCATCTGTAGATGGTGTGACTGTGGACGGATTCTAGACCCGGACGGAATTTCGCTATTTCTATTAAATATTCAGACTTCCAAAAGTCCTTTCAGAAAAATTATAAATTATTTGAAACATATTATCCCCGGTGGGGTTCGAACCCACGATACGTTCATTGTTCTTGCTATATATTTTTTATGTTATTCGATAAATTCTTCCTTATACTTTTCATTTTATTTTTTATCCTCATACATATCTTTGACGTTTATTAAATAAGAATTTTCCATTCAAGTAACGCTTTAACGGTTCAAAACGCCAAAAGTACTAGTTAGACTTTTTTACAATTGGCAACAGGCTAATCAAGGCTGCTGTTCAAATCGCTTGCGTATTAAAATTATTGAATAAGTTTAACTAATACATTTCGCGTTTTAAACCGTTAAAGTGTGTTTTGTAAACTAGAGACAGTATTTAATTTGACAAATAATTTAGTCTCTAAGTATGCCCTTGTACAGAATATGTACCAACTTTTAAATCTGAAATTCCAATCTACTCCATCTAATATTATATCAAAAGTTATAAATCATCTTTAACTTTGAAAGTCTACCGAAATTTCTAAGCGACTTCTTAAGGAACAAACTTTTGTACTACCCACGTATATTTATGGTGAAATTCTCTGCCAACTTTTCACTGTGGTTTAGTTTGAACGCTCGAAGTTTTATAATACAATAATACTTTTATGTTTACGACTGTATAATGTGAACTATTTTGAGGTTTTGATTAATTTAAACGAAATCTGCAAAGATAAATTTATTAAAAAACTTTGTGAAAATAATATTAGTCTCCTAATTATTGTATTTTTGTAAGTCTGTTGCTTTCTAAACAATACGAGAGAATTCGAAATGCTATGAATTATAAAGCCACGTGTTCGCTGTCAGTCTATGGTTGTTTAAATGCCACATTCTGTAAAATAAAATGTATTAATAATGCTTTCTAACTATTATTTGTATATCGTGCTAGCTTCTGGAATTACTAAACTAATCAATTATTGTGATTAAACACCTACTGTCTGTAGCTTACGTGAGTAGTATACATTTAAATAAAACACTTTTACAGTTTAAAAAGCGATATATATTAGTTAAATTTATTGAACATTATTTTAACTACTACAGCTCGAGATTTAGTATGCTTTGCAGCAGCCGTGGTCACGGGGAGACGATGGAGGGTGTCTCTGACGTCAAAGCAAAATCTGCTACGCTAGCGCCATCTGTGCCATCGTGACCACGGCTGCAGCAAACTTTCGAAATGTCGGGCTGTAGTAAAAATCATTTTCAAATAAGTTTAACTAATACGTATAGCGTTTTTAACTGTTAAAGTGTTTTATTTTAATTATTTTGATTACTTGCCAGTTATTATACAAATCAATTTATTATTACGTGGAACCGGATTAAAACTTGACTTATGCCAAAAATTCTTGTAATGAAACTTAGGTGGGCACCCTAATAACCTTTGAACAACTGTTCACCATAACGTGACCCATCTAATTTCACTTTCTTATCACACAAAAGGAAGGTGAAACGTAAAAATCAGCGATAAATTCGTAACCGTGACAGGTGACGCGTAAAATTGCGATCCATACCTTTGAAACCTTTTTCTGTTTGTTCTGGTTATATTTAGATAGGTTTTTGTTTATCGAAGGCGCTATACATGGAAAGGCTGATGATAAATGGCGCTATTCTGTGTCAAGAGAAGATGATGAAAGCGAATTAAGAAGACGATAAAAATAATTGACGGGCTCGTTGGTCCATTGGTAGCAATATATGGCTATCAATCAACATCAATGGGTCGAGGGATAGATCAATTTATAATTTTTCTGAAATATATAGAAATTCCGTCCTGGTCACGACGTATACAGATGAAGAAGCGGTGAAGTTGAATCGCGTGTCGGTTTCAGTCTGTAGATTTCCGAATATCCAAAGTCAAACTAGGTTGATAGCGCATGCTACAGGCTGGGTATATCATCTATCATCGAGTGAGCCCCACGTTTGCCGGTCCACTTCTATCATTAAAGAAACTGATATAATTGGAGCATTTGAACAATGACATGAGAAGGTAATTCCGATATCGAATCCCACCGGATGGACATGCTTCTAAATATCCTCTTATATTTTTTTTTTATGTTAGGTTTCAGTCTCAAAAATCTGGACAATTAATGGCTGGTAGAAATAAATGCCATGAAGTTAATTCACCTTTCACTTTCTCTCACACATAATCAATTGTCACTATTTTATACTGTACTGATATACATTTTTTAATTAAAATATAAACGTAATTGACTTTTCTTTGTACCCATTCTAGATTAATTAATTTCTCCAACAAAGGGCCATCGCACAAAAGCGCAGTTATCAAATCGTTTTGTTTGGAATTTGAATACGCACATATTTTTAGTCTGTCGTTGGAACACGAGTTATATTCACTTTGAACATAATAACGAAGTATATCATAAATATTTTCGATCGTTACAACTTCCAATCGTTTTGAAATTCTTATAAAATGAATTTGTAGTGATTAACCTTTATTTGTTTGGATTTTATATATCAAATGACTAAATACTGTCGTTAACGCGAGTAGTACATATTTATGTAAAATACTTTTAACGGTTGAAAACTTTTTTATTTTTTACATGTTATTGCACATGAAGGCATTATATAATTTAAAAATAGAAAATACGGTTGAAGTCCTAACCGAGTCGAAGATTGTTTTCAATTTATTTTCGATTTTTAAACTTTTAACGGTTTTTAGAATGCGAAACGCTAAACTTACTTACAAAAAATATTTTATTTTGGTAAAAAAAACAATAGATCCCAAAAAACAGCATACCTGTAAACGTGTTAGTTACTTGTGCAAGAACCTACTGCAACGAAACAGATCGATTAAAGATTGAAGGTGTCCACCGTACATGTTTCGCATTTAAACCGTTAAAGTGTTTTACTTAAGTGTTCAGTCATTAATTATATGTAACTTAAATTCCTGAGTAAATGTAGTGTTGTTTTTAGTGTGGGTAGAGAAAAACAAACTGCCCGTGAAGCTACCCAATTTTTCTGTCTTTCGAATCAATTTTAAAACTACATACAGTTATGTAGCAATATCTACGGTTGCAAATTTCATCGGCGCAAGAGTTCGCTTGCTACCTTATTTCATACTGGTGTATAGATCCTGATAGTTATACCTAATGCTTAGATTATTGCGTTGTAAGGCCATATATGATAACCGTGATTATTAATAATTCTGAATTTAACATTTAAAAATATGGTCAGTGACTTAGATTAAAAACTGTATAAAAACCTCTTTGCTTCACCTAATTTTCATTTTTAACCAAGAAGTGAAACTTAAAACATTCGGTGTATTTTACACAACATATAGGTTGGTGCGCATTTAACGTATACAATAAACAACTTCACAGCTATGACGTAGATAGTACTTTCATTTCTACTCCACAATATTTACACGTTTACGATAAACAACTGACATAAGCTTTTAAAGTAGGATTAATTTTAAAGTACGCCAGGCACTCTACAATTTGAACAGTAATAAAATAAATGTATCATCTTCATTATCTCTGTTTAACCAGTACTCAAACTTAAGCCGTTCAAACTATTGACACGGTAGCTCAATTAGTTATAGCTCGGAATGCTGTATATGCCGGTTCAAGATCCGCCCGTGTCATAAATTGTTTCAATCTAGATAGATTTTAAATTCACTTAAAATTGATTATAATGTACCTCCATAAATTAATAAACAACATTGCGGTAAGGTTTTATTTAAATTAATAAACATTTATCTAACAATTGACCGATAAAATACTTTAACGATTTAAAACGCGATATGTATTAGTTAAAGGAGTTTGAAATTTATTTTAACTAGGGCCCGACGTGCTATAGATTAGTAGTAAATGAAACCATTAAATATCAATATATAATCACCTATGTCTGGAGCAAGCTATGTTAATCAAGGAAAGAATTTCTTTTACAGGCAACTGCTTAGTGATAGCTGCCGTCCTATGTTCTTCAAAGCTCCGGAGTGTCACCAACTTGTTTATTGTTTCGCTGGCTGTCGCGGATCTGTTGGTGGGACTTGCAGTACTGCCATTTTCCGCGACGAGGGAAGTCTTTAAGGTAACTACTCAAACAGCTGTGTAAACACTCAACATATAACTTAAGTGAATACAATAACATTTATATAAATTAAAAATCGATTTTAGTTTTTATAATTTTATAACATTGGCAAAACTGAACCTGGAACCAGCTTCCGCGTTGCTCTAACCAATTGAGCTAACGTGCTATTTAATTGATATTCATTTATTTATTTCCAATTAATTGCACAAAAAATTAACAAAAACATAAACGAGACTTATACTAAAAGTCTATGGAGTGCAATGGGCGGTCTTCTCGCTAACAAGCGATCTCTACCAGGCAACCCAAAATAAAAGAAGAGAAAGTTTACGGTAAAACGAGCAAGGTGGGCGAAACAAAATCTACAATCGTTAATATAATCTTAAAAATATCAAGACAAAACTTACAATTTCTAAGATATTACATACAATTTGTAATTACTATTGTGTTTAACATACAAGAATGAGATTCCTTTTCGCACAGTTCATTTTCGTAGCTGTTTGTTAATAAAATATAGTTAAATAGATATTTTATTAAAAACTCAATTACTACTAACAATAAAATCAATTTTAATTGTTAGTCCTTTTTATGAGGTTTGTTACTATTTAATTTCACAATTATCTTACGTTATTTTCACTTTCCTAGAATATCTTAGTATTCCCACTCGTGTGTTTTAGCTTATATGAAATTTCAGGCTATTGTTTCAAGAGCTTTCCAGTTTTCACTAAACTTAGCAACACTATTCTCGTATTGAATTACTCAAACAAGCGGTCTCTATACCTACATTTTACGTCATACCATTAAAACGAAACTTAACTCAATTAGTAATATAATTAAAATTATCTCACTTAACCTACGTTATATCTACATACCCGCTGAGTCAGCGACTTCGTCTGGGTAGAATAGTTATTTTCGTTCGCGTCCCATTGTTCTTGCGAGTTAATCTTATAAGATAGACATACTGTCCGGACTTTTTTTAGATCATTTAAAGAGGATTAATTCTTTCATAAATATTATTTGGGTATCATGAACCATTTTCGCAGCGTACGCAACGGAGTCCCACAAGAATTAATAATTCTTTCCTCTTTGTCCACTTCTCTTGTCACTTCGCTCCTATTAGTTGCAGTGCGTTATGGCCTATAAGCCTATAGCCTTCTTCGCTAAATAACCTAACACAAAAATACATTTTCAAGTCGAATCAGTACTTCCTGAGATTAGCGGTTCAAACAAACAAAGAAACGTTTCAGCTTTAAATATTAGTATAGATTAAAAATCGATTTTAAATTTGAACAAAATTTATTTAAAAAAACACGGGCTGACCAATTGAGCTACCGTGACACCGTTGACTGTTTAGATTGAGTGTACATAGTGCCAATAACATGTGAAAAATGTGAAAGATTCCAAACAATCTTATCATTATCGTCGAATCCTGTATTCAATTGTTGTTTAGCGAATATGTATAATTATTTATACTTTCATATGATAACTTTAGTTTAGTTTATTCTTGTTTTGACAACGCTAATACAACGCGAGGCCATCAAACAGATAAATTATCCAGGTGTGAGTTACAGACATTCTATCTGTCTGTTTTCAAGTGCTTATAGTGCATTAGACGAAAACTTCAAGATAGATCGACGATGCGATATATACGGAGTATCAGACGTTTTTAGTGTTTTTCATTAAGTTAAACTTTACAAATCCTTTCTCGGAGAAGGTACACTGAACTGGAAACTCATTTTATTTCCAAAGGCTTAATTAAACTATCAATCGTACAAAGAGTTTGTTATTTGTATCGGAGGTTAAGATAACTATTCGAGATCGAGAGAAAAGCGAACAATGTTAGAACCGATATTCAAAAGAAAGAACGGATAAACAGATACAAAAAATACAAAAATACCACCACTAAGACGAGATATAATAAAAAAGTTAAAACAATATAAGAGATTTAAATAAAGCACTTTAACGGTTTAAAACGCGCATATTAGTTAAACTTATTTGAAAATGATTTTTAACTTCGAAGCATCCGAAACGTCGGGCCGAAGGTAAAAATCATTTTCAAATAAGTTTAACTAATATATCGCGTTTTAAACCGTTAAAGTGTTTTATTTAAATGTTTATTTCTTCTTTATAATTCCTTTCAAATATAATATCGTTGTTTTCTCGGAAATTTCTCTAATAATAAGCGTAGAACTTCCAGCCTTGCTTTAACACGACATAAAAAACCCGTGCAATGTCTTGAAGCGTGGGCGGCTATTATACAATCAAAACCGCGTTCATTTCGAACCACCCACGTCGTAATTTGAAGGGGTGAGTGATGACGTCATAAAAATCCATATAATATTGCCCTAATCCCGAGCGGAAATTACCTTCACTTGACTACACTTTGAAAATAGACGGATACTAGAATAGGTACTATGACACGCACATTTTGCTCGATATATTTGTCAACTGTAACTTGCGTTACGTAACGTAAGATAAATATTTTCTAAGCTGCATGGCCTTCTGTTTGGGGACAATTGTCAAACATGAGAAAGAAATAATGTCCGTAACTTACGTGAGTAGTACACATCTATTAACGGTTTAGAATCCCCCGTGTCCACGGCTGCTGCAAAGCAACTAAAACATCGGCCATAGTTACAATACATTCAAAACGAGTTTACTAATATATTTTGCGTTTTGAAACGTTAAAAAAGTTTAATTTCAAATGAAATATAACTTAAGGTCAAGTGTCGTCTTGGTGAGTCGTCTTAATCGAAAATCCGAGAAGCTTTTCAAAATGGCCGCATTGGTTTCAAAAAAATCTTATGCAATTTATATAAATGTGACAAAATTCGCGATTTATGGTGGCATAGGCATTCTGTCACAAAATATTTCATCTGTCATGGTACAAAACATTAACAATTGTTCGGTTTAGTCTTAAAGCGTTAACTACTGTTTCAAATGTCAGAAGTATGACAAAATCTCTAGTCCTTTAGAGTATAGAATGAAGGTGTAATTTCTAGAATTGTATCTTTGTATGTAGAAATACTCGATTCCCAAAGTAGGTACTTAATGCACACTTAATTTAACGCTTCACAAGTCCGTTAAAAGTGTCAAGTTTAAGTTTAAATTACGAAAGCGGCGGGACAATCATGATCGATTAACTTAGAAACGAATTTGTGAAAGTTGAAATCTCGTTTCAGGCTCAGTTCTGTGCCCGTTTCATTGATCGAATTCAAAGGTAAATAAAGATAAGGCTTGTCCTATTTCACTAGAATAATATTTTATTGCTCACGGTATTCGTACCTTGGACTTCGCACGCTGAACGCATAGAAGCAACACGTTTTACAGCGGTATGTTTTGCACATTGCCATATATCATATGTTATCAAGTCGCAATTTAAATGAACCACGTTTAACGGTTTCAAACTCTTAATTTACTAGTAAATGTATTGTTAACTAAGAGATCTACTTAGATAACGAGTCATAGTTAATTTAAGTAATACATGTATTGTCTCTAGTTTACGCGAAATATTTTAGTGAACTTATTTTTAAATGTATTTTGCCACGGCCCGACGGATGCTGTGCAACAGCTAACTTACATATGTTATTATATATTTCATTTTTTGTATATAAAGGTTGCCTAAAAGAAATCGCCATAGGCAATTAGGTCGCATTTGCTTTAATGTAAATAATTAATTATTTGTTAGAATCATTTTAATAACTGATACATTTCACGTTTAAGCCGTTAAATCTCTCTTATTTATCGGTTCTTCACGTAAATCACAGTACGTAACCACACATACTTAATAGTAGCGTAATAAGTGGGAGTATGACCTTTAACACTTTACTGTATGGACATATGAATCGAGCGTTAGCAAATACCTAGGATTTTGGTATTTAATCGCCCGCGTTTGTACAAATACATACCCACATAGCTTCCAAAGATCGCTACAATTGCATTGTATAAATAATTTACTAACTCCTTGCTCCATTAATTAACACTTTGCCTAGTATTGTTTTAACTGCGAGAAGCTTTTAAACTCGGGGAAATAATAATTACGGTTGGGCATATTACAGAAGTCTGATCACCTTTTGACAGGCCTATTAGTGTAATGGAATATCCAAAGCAAAAATAAAGACAGAGCTTCTTGTTTAGATGTTATATGTGACTGGGGTATGTCACCTTCAAGTATACCATAAGGCTCCCTTCTCTATCATAAAAAATGGTAATGTATGACCAGTAACCAGCGGTTTGTGGGTTTGATCTCCATGGGGAAGAACATGTTTCTAATCGATTTATATTTTTCTGAAACATGTTGGACTTCGTCTGGTAATCTGGATATTAAACGGGTGGTTGAAATATATAAATTCCGTCCGGGTCACGAACTACCGTCCACAGATTAAAAAGCCGTCAAATTTAATCGCGTTTCAGTCTGTGGATTTATCTAAAGACAAAATAGATTGACAGCGAATCTTGTTTAGATGTTTATGGCTGGAGTATTTCACCTACAATTAAATGAACCTCATGTATTTCTGTCCTCCTCTATTAAAAAAAAAATATATCTGTAAACAACATCCTCATGCCGCACTTGAGAAATAGTTCGTTCCTAAACTAAGCGAACACTCTCAATTAAAGCGGAACTGTTCGAAAACCGAAGTAGCAATGGCGGAAGCCTTAAACAATTTAAAACAATGATGTTCTGAAACACTTTTAATAATTCACAAACGACTTATATTTCTGTTAAGACAAATCAAACAACTTTGGTTTGGCGCCTTATTTAATCTTCGGGAACTTTTTGGAACATCAATAAGCTAATGTTTAAGTTTGTCGAGCTTTATATCTTCGCGTAAGACACAACAGACTGTTTATTAGTTTAATTATTGTTTGTCTGTAGGCATTTTTGCACACTTTCCTTATTAAATTTAAAGGTATTCTTCTGATGTTTGTTCTTTTACGAAAAAGGTGACGACGTAATAAATTGTATATAAATTACATTACAGTATGAATTATAACAATAAAAAAGTGAAACCAGTGGAGCATGGGGTGAACACATTTCTGTATCCGATTCAGTGATCAGTCCCTCAATAAGCGAGCACCTAATCAGACTTCTGTGTCCTGCCCAACCGAAACTATCTATTGTGTCCCCGAGCTCAAATCGGGACTTTCGTCTAACTCAAAAAGACCTACTCAATTATTTTTGAAAACTTAAATATTTTTACAAGGTAGCATTATTTAAATTAACTGTAACAATAGCTACCTACGAAACACAGTCAAACCGCTGTGGATGCCGGTTCAAGTGTCGTAAATTTTTTATACTCTAAAATGTCTTTTTAATATAATACTTAGTTAATTCAAAGCCCTTAAGAATATATAGCCAAGTGAAACCATATAAAAGTCAAAATAGATTCTTGCAACTGATTGTCACAGATAAAGCAAAATGTTTGAAATATCCTTATGCATAGTGTATAGACTGCTTTGTTATTTATAAACTTTTCAGGGTTTTCGTTGTGTAAAGTTTATTATGAATAGTTTCATAATTTAAATAACAATTAAACGGTTTAAAAAGCGATATATTTTACTTAAGTTTATTTGAATATTTTAACAGTCCGACTTCGCATGATTTGCAAGTACCCGGCCAGTTTGCCAAATACAAACTTCGACGGAACAGATGGCGCTAGCGTAGCAGTTTTTACTTTGACGTTAGAGATACCCTCCATCTTTATTCTCCCCGTGACCACGGCTGCTCCAAAGTTATAATATATAAATAGTTAAAATAATTTTATATATCGTGTATTAAACCGTTAAAGTGTTTTTATTTAAATGTGCAATACTCGCAATAACTACAGATATTTTCAAAACATTTATTTTATGACCTGTTTCAATGGTGGTTTTTTTGCTTGTATTTTTTTATTTTTTATTTCACGACCTTTGGACACGAGACCTTCAGTTGGCAATTAGGTAATCCTCCCGAGTGTTGCCTGACCGAAACTATTTGTCATATTTTCCCGGAATCAGTATTAATTATTGTTTGATTATTTTCTCTGCTTCATTAATTTGTTTTTGTGTAATATTTGCGACAGTGATACAATATCGCTGTAATTTACGGGACTAATGCACATCATAAAATGTCATAGTTCGGAATAAGTTATTTCAAAAATATATTTTGCGTTCACGTTAAAATTTAAATTTAGAAACATGGTAGTTTTATCGTTGTTAATTTAATTTAGTGTAACTATTTCGGGAACGAACGATAGTGTAACATTCACATCAGATACAGAACTTTGAACTGTATCTATTTGTGATACTTCTTCTACAGATAAGTAACTTTATTAGAACCATGTTGTGCTGGATGGGGATCAAACCCACGACCCATCGCTTATCCATACATTATTTCCATTACACCAACGAGCCCGTTAAACCTGAATACTTTATCTATATTTTTTATGTAGTCTATGTTAAACATGAAAAAATACTCCAGTGTAGCATAATATATGAAAAAGAACCTTCGCAAGTACGTTATACCTTTCCTTATAATAAATAATTATACTTTAATTTAAGTAAAAGAGCTAAGCAATCTATCTTAACCCCTGACTAAAGTAAAGTAACCCTTAATAAATCGTTGAGAATTTATAGTTTCAGAAGACAAGGGGTCTTTTGGACCCGCGCGATTTTCTTACTTTCAATCGGTTTTATATTAGAAATCTATTATTCGTCCTTCTGAGGCACTAAAGGCTTTTTTTCTAAATAGTTTGAAAAATATTAGGTAAGAAACAACAAACGTATACACATCATGTGTATAAAATCCCGCTTTCCCCCCTCACGGGGCATGGGGCGAACATTCGCGTCTGTGTCCGTTTCACTTATCCGTTCTTTAACAGGCAAGTAGTTGATCAGACTTCATCGCCCTACCTGACCGAAACAATCTTTTGTTTTCCTGGGATTCGAACCCGGGACCTCTCGCGCTTAACGCATTGCTAGGCAATGCAATATACAATTTAACTATTTGGCTACAGAGGCGGTCCACACATCATATAATAACAATATAGTGAAAAGTCTTATTGTTAAAATATAGTTTGCCGCGTTTCCTGGGATTTGAACTGACGACCTCTTACGCTTAACGCTATTTTTAGTAACACGTATATTAAGCATATACATAAAAAAAAATGTGCAATGGCAGTAGTCTAACAGCTTGCTTGAAAATTCATCAGTGAAACAAACAAGTTTGGTCCACATATGGGAACCAGGTGGCCCCCACATATACATTATATGAAGCCCCGAGATGAGGATAAGACTTCTGTGCCCAACTTGACCGAGTGACAGTATATATAACATCCTAATTACTTACATAACTTCTTAACGATTAATATCGTTCGATTTTTTATAAATATTTTTATTTGTTATATACCAATTAATACTTAAAGAATTCTATAAGCTCTTATTCTAGCAGAAATTCTAATCTTCAAGAAGTTATCCAAGTGGAAACGGTATGCGACTTGTATTAATATTCATTAATTACTCAGATTGAATTAAATGACGGTAACGGCTGCTAACTAATTGTCACTTACTATTTTAACTCGATTTGAAACGATCGATCGTGCGTCTCGAACTCAAATTTCTAGTGAACTCAAATTTCTAGTATTTATAACGAAGAAGTGACGTATACGTTTTTATCGCTCGGCAATAATGTTTTATTTGTTTTTTACATGTATTTATATAGAGGATTCAAAGCCACAATAGATCGACTATGTATGGCTGGGGTATTTCATATACCATTAAGTGAACCGTATGCTTGTCTGTCTGTAATGAATAATTTTCTCCCTTTTATCAGTCTTCGCTCCTATTGGTCGCCGCATGATATTATACTACTTAAAGTCTTCCTCCAAAAATGGTCTATTCAATACAAAAAGAAATCTAAAATTCGGTCCATGAGTGCGTTAGCACGTTTAAATAAACGGACAAACTCTTCAGCTTTGTAATAATAACGTATAAGATATTAATACTTGCCTATAACACTAGCCCTACTTCTATGAAGGCTGAACATTATTTTAAATTTACGTATACGATATATTAGTAGAATTTCCTTTAAAACCTTACTTTTTATCTGAATTCCTTGTAAAATTTTCAAATACGTAATGCTTTTCATAAAAGCCTTAACGAATTATATTTAATTATTATTCATGATAGGTTCTCAGCAAGTAAAGAGGGGGGGGGGGGGTTAAGCTGCTGCGCTGACCTTTCAAGTGGAATAAATACATAAATATTGTTTACTATTCGTTACTGTTAAAAAACATACGTTCAAAAGCAAATACAATTTACAATAACAAGAAAAATAAAATTATATCTTATTTATATTTTTAAATACTAACTAATATAAGCATTTATTTTCCAGGTATGGATTTTCGGCGACGTCTGGTGTTCTGTATGGTTAGCTGTCGACGTCTGGATGTGTACGGCGTCCATTTTGAATCTTTGTGCAATCTCACTCGACCGCTACGTAGCAGTTACAAGGCCAGTCAGCTATCCTTCAATTATGAGCAAGAAAAGGGCAAAGGCGCTGATAGCAGGGGTCTGGGTTCTATCCTTTGTGATTTGCTTCCCACCTCTTGTTGGGTGGAAGGATAAGAGGGTGCGTAGATAAATAAAAGTCGTAATCAGATAACCTTTAATTACGTTATAATACAATATTCTTCCAAATAGTATTTGATATTGTTTTTAATTTTATTACTATGGAGAAGAACAAAAAGCCCGTGGTTCACTTGATGTTAGGTGTATAACCTCTAAACTAAGCGGTTTGGACTTATTTTGGCATTGGATATTCGGAAATCCACCGACTGCAACCGAAACGCCATTAAGCTTCACGGATATTTCATTTGTGACCGGTATTGCGTGACTTAGACCGAATTTTGACATCTTTACCACAGAAAAGTTATAAATTGATTAGAAGCTTGTTTGAGGTGGTGGGGATCAAACCCCCGATCCATTGATTACTGGCCATACATAGCTACCCTTGGATCAACGAGGCCGTTGAATTCTCAGCTTAAGCTAGATATTTAATCAAAAAGTATATTAAAAGAAAATAATTATTTCATTACAGCGCCAAAGCACCCTTATGCTTTGATGCTGTATAGGGAAAAGAGAGACCTTATTTATAGCTAATTTATAGATACCATATATACTGTGCACAGCAAGCCGGTTTATGGACTACAAATTGCACTAAATAATATATTCCTTCATAAATTTATTTATCAATTTAATAATTTATTTGATTATTTTTCATCAAATTAAAAAAAATAAAGAACATAAAAAACAAACACGTTTGAATAGTAAAAGCGATATGAAAAAACCTTGAGTAACGAAACAAAGCTACAATAAAAACAACAAATGAAAAAGCCTTTATTATTGTTATACGCGAATATTTTACTCCACAAACATAATGTTTGTTTGTCAAATGCGATAATCTCTTTAGGTATAATGAGATATAAACCAAAGCGCGTGTTGTGTTAAATGTTAACTATGCCTTGTCTAATATGTGATTATACGTTTGACAGTTCACAATAGGTAAGGGATAGTAATTCGATTGAGAGTTTGTTGAATTATTGTTTAATAACATAACGAAATAAAGAAAGCATTTTACGAATGTTAAATAAAAATAATAAAACATTTTAACGGTTTAAAACGCGATATATTAGTTAAACTTATTTGAAAGTGATTTTTAACTTCGGCCCGACGTTTCGGATGCTTTGCTCCCCGTGACCACGGCTGCTGCAAAACATCCGAAACGTCGGTTTATTAAACAGTGTACTACTCGCGTAAACTATAGACAGTATGTTTTTTTTACAATGTTCCATCTATACTTGATGAGCTTGTTGGTCTAATGGCAATGTATAGCTAATGATCTATGTGTCCTGGGTTCGATCCCCACCAGGTCGGCCGCCCCTCTTGTTATATGCTATGCTGGTGTATATCACCTACCATCAAGTGAACCATGCCATAATTACCTACTTAAGGACTATGATTTACAGTAGGCAGTATTAGAAAGAAACAATAGTTTATACTTTTTAAATAAAACACTTTAACGGTTTAAAACGCGATATATTAGTTAAACTTATTTGAAATGATTTTTAACTTCGGCCCGACGTTTCATTAATTTTCAAATAAGTTTAACTAGTATATCGCGTTTTAAACCGTTAAAGTGTTTTATTTAAATGTGTACTACTCGCGTAAACTATAGACAGTATTTAATAGTTTATACTCGTCAAACTTATCGTCCTACAATAGACAAAGTATATTATAATAAGTATATTTAATCTTCTTATAAGCCATTATTAACAGAATATTGAAACGTTAATAACAAAATTTAAACAAAAACGGCGCGTTAGCACGAAATGAGGAATAATTATTATTCATGAAAATATTCGTAATACCGTTTATCTTGTTTTCATTGTGTTCTGCCGCGTAAGCCCACGATAATCCGTTTTCTTTTATGCTTAAATAAATAGCTATTAAAAAGCATTAGAGTGACCCAGCAAGCGTTTTGAATAGATTTTTTATATAATTTTTATAATCTACTAGCTGCGTCTGGTACTTCGGCCGCGTAGAATAGTTATTTAGGCTAAAAAAAATGTTTTTGCAAACCTCCTTTTCACCTTTATAGATTTAAAGACCACGACGCAAAGTTAATCTTAAGAGATCTAGTGTCGCGGACATTCATTTAGATCATTTAAAGAAGAATAATTATTTTGTACATATTTTTTTTGGGTATCTCGAACCGTTTACGAAGCGTAAGCAACTGAAATCAAGAAATATGGAAAATTTCCCAGTTTTCTCTAGATTTCTCGCTGTTTCTTTGTGCCTATTAGTCTCAGGGCAATGTTATAACCAGCTCTAACCAACACAAAAATAATTTTTCAATTCGAACCCGTAGTTCGTGAGATAAGCGCGTTCAAATGCAAAGAAACTAACGAACAAACTCTTCAGCTCTATATATTAGTATAGATAGAAGTAAGAATTAGATTTAAATAAAACAATTTAACGGTTTAAAACGCGATATATTAGTTAAACTTATTTGAAAACGATTTTTAACTTCAGTCTCCTCGTGACCAGGGCTGCTGCAAAGCATCCGAAACGTCGGGCCGAAGTTAAAAATTATTTTCAAATAAATTTAACTAATATATCGCGTTTTAAACCGTTAAAGTGTTTTATTTAAGTGTGTACTACACGCGTAAACTTTAGACAGTATTTAAGAATTAGATTTTATTATAACATTTCCTATTGTTTTCTTTTTCTCCACCTTACATAACACATATGGTCTGGTAGGGCACACAATATGCATCTCAAAAATAATTAAAACCGACCGGTATCTCTTTCTTTTGTCCACAAAGAGATATATTCTCAAAAGAACTGTGACAAAGGCTTACAAGGAGAGCACAAAAGCTTCTAACTTTTAATCGGAATAGTGAAAATTAAATGTAATTAAAAACGCCTATAAAATAACAATTGAAATTATTTATTAACATGACTCTTAAAAATAAAACACTATAACGGTTTAAAACGAAACCGAAACGTCAGGCCGTAGTTAAAATAGCTTTCAAATAAGTTTAATAGTACACATTTAAATAAAACACTTCAACGGTTTAAAACGCGATATATTTTAATTAAAATTATTTTAACTACGGCCCGATGTTTCAAAAGCCTTGCAGTAGCCGTGGTTACGACAACTGTCTTCCCGTTGTTCGCCTATCGCATCTTAAACCGTTAAAGTGTTTTTTTTAATAGTTTGCATTTGATTTCAGCCAGCAGACATAGAGACAGAAGTCAACCCACCCTGTCCATGGACGTGCGAGCTGACTAATGACGCAGGATATGTTGTCTACTCTGCCCTCGGCTCCTTCTACATACCGATGTTTGTGATGCTCTTTTTCTACTGGAGAATTTACAAGGCCGCTGTCAGAACTACGAAGGCTATCAATCAGGGTTTTAGGACAACAAAAGGTAATTAGTTAAGTTAATAGTAAGGTAATTAGGTGAATTAATTAGTTAGGTCATAGTTTACATTACAAAACAATAAAACACTTTTTACATCGAAGTATTTTCAAATATTATATTAAGTACATCTCGATATTCTGGAAATTCGTTTCTTTATAGATCTAATATGGTTCACGTTTTAAAAAATTACGCAAACTTTGGCAAAGAGACAACTTTAAAGGTAGAAAGTGGAAGGGGGAACCTACCTTTAAAAGTCTTCTCTAGTGATTCTTATACGCCTTTATTATAACTTTGTCAAGAATCTGAGCTAAAGGCTCAATATTATGTGCACTTCCAAGTATTCAACCTGTTAACGGTTTAAAACGCGAAATATAACCTATATACTTCATACATAACATTTACTTATTTACAATTTATTTTAACGTTTCGGATGTTTTGCAAATATGTTAACTAATAAATTTTAACGCATTTTAAAACGTTTAATGTGTTTTACTTAAATTTGTATAAATTGCGTAAACTACAGACAATACTTGTTTAATTTCTTTATTTATTAATTCGCGAAAAAAATATTGTAAGAGCTGCTTTTACGGGATTTCTTTATATTTCAGGGTTAGGCAACCGGTTTGATGACAATCGTCTTACGCTAAGGATACACCGAGGAAGAGGATCAGCTAGACCACACGGATCTCCTCTATCTACAGCATCTAACCACTCCACGAGTACTTCCTTAAGTGCTTCCCCAGAAAGACTTAGAAGGTACTTAACACCACGTTACATGCTACACTGTTTTCTATCATACCCGACAACCACCAAAAGCAGACAGGCAGTCTGTATGTGACGTTATCGTCATGCAATATAAGGGCTCAAAGAGCTCATAATAATCCCCCTCTTTTTTAATAGTTTCGCATTTTTCTACTTAGTTAAATTAATGAAGTTATCCGATACTTAAGTTTTAAAAAAAGTTCTACTGTTAGACCAAGTGAGACCCACGCGGGCACCAGCCTCGGCTTGTACCACTGCATTTTCTTTTACTAGCGCGGTTAAAATTGGCTTCTAATGAATTATCAGTTATTTAATTTCCAGGCATTCAAGTGCAAGACGTGCCCACGAGAAAATAAAAATCTCCATCTCATATCCATCATCAGAGCAGATCTGTCCAGCGTTAGAGAACTCTAGATCACCGAGCAGATCACCCAGTCCGTCCCTGTATGCTGTACATTATGAACGGGATGGACGGGAACTAACTGAGAGCAGGTTGAGGGTCCGACCACATCATCTATCGCCGGGGACTTTGTATGATGACCTGGAAGATAAGCCTAGAACAAGACGGATGGGCAAGAGGAATATAAAGGCTCAAGTAACGTTATTTTTATTACCATCACGAAGGCGATACCCTATTACCACCTATAAATAAAATTTCTGTAATGAGTAGTTAGTTTTTGTACCTAACGTTTCTTAAACTAGTCTATTGTTATATGGACGCACCCTTAGCAAATCGCAAGTAAGCAGCTGCCCCGTGTACTATTGCAACATCGTTCACACGAGGCAAGAATGCAACGTTGACGGAAAGAGGTAGCGACGAACTCAAAGGAGGCCGGCGCCATCCGACACTGCGTTTTAATGGGAATCTTCCACATTTCACAATTACTTCTTTTAAACATTATTACTGTGTCTCGGTCATTCCATATCTAGCATCGATAGGAACTAGACTAGTTTCTTTAGTAGTAAATTTAAATTGTAATTACATAAGTTTTATTTTAATTAAATTACTTTGAATTAATTTTGGTTTTTTTTTGGGTCCTCCGGCGGCGACATCCATATTTGGCGCAGTCGGTAGGATACTCAAAAAAGCTTTGGTGGTTAGATTTTCTAATATCGATAGTCACTTTCACCACCGTAAGCGTAGGGTATCTAAAAGAACCGGGTGTCCCGGATCGGAGGATAAATCCGAACATTGATCCCAGAGGAACCAGAATGCAGTTCATGTAAGTACACTCAAATTTTTCTTGTGTGTTGCTTTCCTTTCCCTTTAAGTGTAATTTTTACTTTGCAAAATTTTTCATCCTAGGCAAACTACCCCTAGAGGGCCTGCGCGTGCAAAATTAGCTCGTAGGCTCGAATTGGATAGTCATAGAAATATTAGTGTAGAGTTAAATAGTACTTTAGATTCCTCGGTAGATTCGGTAGCTTACCAATCAATCGAGATGACTGACGTAGACACAATTTTTAAGGCCTTACGCCTGGTGCCAGATTTTGATGGTAACCCGCACGTATTACCAAGATTCATTCATTTGTGCGACCAAATTGTTGCGGAATATATTACCGCTAATCCTGGCAACGAACTAGCAAAGCTCTGTCTTATTAATGGCATATTAAATAAAATTACTGGGCCAGCCGCGCGTATTATTAATTCGAACGGCATATCCGAAAATTGGGATTGCATTAAAAACGCACTGATTAATAATTTCTCAGATCAAAGGGATGAGACGGCTTTGTATAACGATCTTATGTTAGCCACGCAAGGGAATAGTTCGCCTCAGGAGTTCTATGATAAATGTGTTAACTTATTCAGCACCATCATGACTTATGTCACCTTACACGAGTCAGTCGATACGACTGTAGAAGCTAAACGTGTTTTATATAAAAAATTAACGATGCAGGCATTTGTGCGCGGTTTGAAAGAGCCTCTAGGCTCTCGCATTAAATGCATGCGTCCTGATAGTGCTGAAAAAGCTTTGGAGTTTGTGCAAGAGGAATTGAACGTAATGTACCTTCAAAATCGTAACGATTCAGTATCAGAAAAGAAAATTCAAAGTGTTCAATTGCCAAAGCCAATTCAATTGGCTCCTAATAATTTCCCCGCGTTCAAACCATTCAATCCTGTTGCACGACCCCCTTCAATGCCAATATGGCAGCCGCCCCAACAGCAGTGGAAGCCGAATTTCCAGCAGCCAGCCCCATTTAGATCGATGAACATGCCATCACGCACGCAGCAAATGTTCCGTGCCCCACCACCTAACTATAACCCTCATCAAAATAATTTCTTTAGTGTGCCTAGAAATGTTCCTCAAAATCAAGGCCCTAAGCCTATGAGTGGCGTTAGTCACTACGTCACTAGAGAGAGGCCTCTGACCACGCAGTTGACGGGTCATGATTGGCGTAAGCATGGAAATATTCCAGCCTCAAATTATTTTAAAACTAAAGAAATGAATATGAATGAGTGTGATAGTTATGAAAATTATTATTATCCTGAATATTATAATTGTGATGCATATGATTACTATTACGCAGGAAATGATTTTTACTATCCGGAATCTTATTGTGTAGAACAGAGTTGCGAACCATTAAATGAGTGCCCTTCAGGCTACTCTGATGAACCTCAGCCATCTACTAGTTCCGTAGAAGAGCAGGATTTTCAGAAGCGCATGAAATCAGACAAGTCAAAATAGAATTAAATTTACAGTCACAAAGGCAACTCCCATATATTCAAATTTTGGATCCGCCTTTGAAATTATTAATTGACACAGGCGCTAATCAATCTTTTATTTGTCCAGACGCTATTGAACATTTTTATTCTAATTTTCCATTAAATTTTGATCCATTTGAAGTTACCAATGTGCACGCTACATCCAGAAATAATTATTCTATTAATATTCCTTGCTTTTCAGAATTTAATGAACCTGAAAATATTAAATTGTACATCTATAAATTTCATGAATATTTCGATGGGCTTATTGGACTTGACTTATTAGAAAATTGGGAGGCAAAAATAGATTTAAAAAATAAAGTACTTATAACACGTAATTCAAATAACCCTATTAACATGTATAACTCGCGAAACGTTAATTGGTACGAAGATATAATACCGGCTAATTCTTCAAAAATTATTAAAATTCCTATTAATTTGCAGGACGGTGATGCTTTTATAAATGAGCAAAGTATTTCTAATTGTGTCATTAATCAATGCTTAACTACTGTTTGTAATAACCGCGGATTTTTAGAAGTTTTTAATCCATCACAGCATGATTTAATATTTTCGTTAGATCGACCCGTTCAAGCAGAATCTTATAACGTAGAGTGTTCACGTTCTGTCCAGCATACTCCGCGAGCGACCGAAGTTCTATCACGACTTCGAACCGATCATTTAAACGCCGAAGAACGCGCGAATCTAGAATTGTTATGTAGTAAATATGCGGACGTATTCTACATAGATGGAGAAAAATTAACATTCACGAATAAAATTAAACATCGTATTCGAACCCAAGACGAAATTCCCGTATATACGAAAAGTTATCGATATCCGTATGTACATAGAGATGAAGTTAGGGACCAGATAGGCAAAATGCTAGATCAGGGTATAATCCGTCCCTCAGAATCCGCTTGGAGCTCGCCTATTTGGGTAGTTCCGAAGAAGGCTGACGCGTCCGGTAAAACTAAATGGCGTCTCGTGATAGATTTTCGTAAGTTAAACGAAAAGACGCACGATGACAAATATCCGATCCCCAACATCAGTGACGTGTTAGATAAACTTGGTAACTGTCAGTATTTTACCACTTTAGACTTAGCTAGCGGATTTTACCAAGTAGAAATGGACCCTGACGACATTCCGAAGACCGCGTTTAATGTCGAAAACGGACATTATGAATTTCTTCGCATGCCAATGGGACTAAAGAACTCTCCGTCCACTTTCCAGCGCGTAATGGACAATGTGCTAAAAGACCTTCAGAACACCGTCTGCCTGGTCTATTTGGATGACATAATCGTTTTTAGTACCAGTCTCCAAGAGCACATGACCAATTTAGAAAAGGTTTTTCAAAAACTTCGCGATTCCAATTTTAAGATCCAGATGGATAAATCTGAATTTCTTAAATTAGAGACAGCATATTTAGGTCACGTAATAAGTAAGGATGGTATTAAACCAAACCCTGATAAAATTTCCGCAATTCAGAAATATCCACTTCCAAAAACACCAAAGGAAATCAAACAGTTCCTTGGTTTAGTCGGTTACTACCGAAAATTTATACCTGATTTTGCGCGAGTCACTAAACCCCTTACTCAGTGTCTTAAAAAAGGTAGGAAAATTGTCGCAGACACAGAGTACATAAATTGCTTTGAGAAGTGCAAATTACTATTAACTAATGATCCGATTCTCCAATATCCCGATTTTTCTAAGGATTTTGTTCTCACAACTGACGCGTCTAACGTAGCTATTGGTGCCGTACTATCTCAGGGCACAATTGGTATAGATAAACCAGTTTGTTTCGCGTCTAGAACTTTAAATGAGAGCGAAATAAATTATAGCACTATCGAGAAAGAGCTCCTCGCTATTGTATGGGCAACTAAATATTTTAGGCCTTATTTATTCGGAAGAAAATTCAAAATTGTAACCGATCATAAACCACTCCAGTGGGTTATGAATTTAAAAGAGCCCAACTCCCGCCTAACTCGTTGGAGGCTCAAACTTTCAGAATATGATTTTACAGTTATTTATAAAAAAGGCACAAGTAATTGCAATGCCGACGCTCTGTCCCGCATTGAGATCCATAACGAGGAGATCAGTTCAGTAGTTGCTAATGCTTCAGAACGCCCACCATCAGTTGATAATTCGTCTACAGCATCCGCTCACACTAGTTTAGAGAACCCAATTTTAGAGATTCCAATCGTTGCGGAACCTCTAAACAAATATCATAGGCAGTTATGCATTAGAGTAGTAGGTGATATTAAAAAACGGCCAACGGGTTCGAAACCGTTTGATACGCATACTAGAACATCAGTACAAGTTTCTAGCTCTAATTTAGAATCAGACGTAGTAGATATAATTAAAGAATTTGTTAATCCTAAGGTAAAAACCGCGTTGCTTATAAATCCTCCCTTAGCTTTTTATGACATTATACCGATCATTCAAGATAAATTCAAAAGTTCCGCAATGAATTTAGTGCTGTGCAAATACGAAGTAGAGAACGTTAAAGAGTACTTAAGACAGCAAGAGATACTCAAACATTACCACGATGGTAAAACTAACCACCGCGGAATAAACGAGTGCCATCTAGCTTTATCCCGTCGTTACTATTGGCCAAAGATGAAGGACGATATAACTAAATTTATTAATAGTTGCACTATTTGTGGTCAAGCGAAATATGACCGTAATCCTATTAAGCAACAGTTTAATATAGTTCCCCCGGCAACAAAACCCTTCGAAATAGTCCATATCGATCTATTATCCATTCAAAATGAAAAATATTTGACCATAGTAGACGTATTCTCTAAATACGCGCAGGCATATCATATTCGCGACGGTACTGCTATTAGCACGTTACAAGCTTTACTTAAATTCTGCACTCACCATGGTCTCCCATTAACTATTGTTTCTGATAACGGTACAGAATTTACCAATCAGTTATTTAGTGAATTTGTTGCCTTACACAAAATTAATCATCATAGAACTTTGCCGCATAGTCCTAACGATAACGGTATAGTAGAAAGATTTCACTCTACTTTGCTTGAGCACCTTCGTATTTTAAAACTTAGTCATAAAAATCAGGACGTAATTAACCTTATCCCGTACGGTATTTTAGCATACAATAGTTCTATTCATTCATTCACTAAGTGCCGACCTTTTGATATTATAACTGGCCACTTTGACCCGCGAGATCCTCTCGATATAGATATATCTAAGCACTTAATGCAGCAGTACATGCAAACCCATCGTGACAATATGAAACTTGTCTATGACGCAATAAATGAGTCATCGCTGAGTACTCGTACTCACATTATAGAAAATCTAAATAAAACCCGCGAACCGGAAATCGAGTACCAACCCCAACAACGCGTGTTCGTTAACAACCCTTTAGCAAGTCGTCAAAAGCTAGCCCCACGATATAGTCAGGATACTGTTCTTGCGGACTTACCTATACACATATATACCTCTAGAAAGCGCGGTCCCGTAGCTAAAAGTAGGTTAAAACGAGTCCCTAAAAGTGCCCAATTGTTGCAGGGTGCTACTGGTCCTGACTGCTCGTTTGATAACGGCTCAGGAACGCAATCAAGAGATAACACTTGAGAGCCTTGATGATGGTCCTGGATTACTCCCATTTAGACTCGGAGAAACGAGGCTTATTTCCCATTTTCATACTTTCTTACAATATATACAACTCCAAGATATTAGCGATAAAATAGAATTATTACAAGTCCAATTAGCAGATTTTAAACTCCAATTGAAAAATGATACTTTCATGTTATATGAACTACAAATAGAATACTTATCCTCTAAACTATTAAATGTTCTTAGCCACTTAGAATCGTTAGAATCTACTAGAGTTAAAAGAGGTCTTATTGATGGCTTGGGTTCCGTAATTAAAACTATCACTGGTAATTTAGATCACTCTGATGCAATAAGGTACGATAAGGCTATTAAAATTTTACAGGATAATGATAATAAAATTATCAATCAGTTTAATTCCCACATTACTTTAAATAACGAGTGGATGGCCCAGCATTCTGATATCATGTCTAAACTTGTTGAAAATCAAATAAAAATTAATGAAACTTTAAAGATTATTTTAGATTCAGATGCATATAGAGACTCAAGTCTTATTAAATACATGAAATTTGCGCAACATTTAGCTATTATTACAGAGAACATAGATGACGTTATCAGTGAACTTATTAGAATAGAAAATAGTTTAGCTTTTATCCGTGCGTCAAGCGCGCACCACTCAATGATTAGTATTAAAGTTTTAGGTAAAATGATTAATAGGTTAATATCAATATACGGTAAGGAACATGTGTTAGAGTTAGAACTAAGGGAATATTATGAGCTAATAAAACCTGGTTATTATTTCTCAGGTACCAGAATAGTAGTTATATTTAAATTACCCCTTTTTATTAAAGATAGTTATGACTTGTATAGATTGTCCATTGCTCCTAATAAATACCAGCAGGCCCTCATCCCTCCTTATCCTCTAATAGCAACAAACAGGAAAGGTTACGTGTACATGGAGGCAGAATGCCCGAAGTACAATCACTGGTACCTCTGCGGTGAGAAGATGGACCACCAGATACGACAGCAGCCAGACTGCACTCAAGAGCTCATCATTAACCAAGCCTTGGACAAGACCTGCCAGATGACTACGATAACACTCTCAAGAATCTCCTTGGAAGAACTTGACGAGAAGCACTATATCATATCCTTCCCAAATGCTACGAAGATTCATCTGCGATGCGCACGAGATGACTACACCATCCTTAGTGGCACCTACTTAATCACAGTGCCTGTCAACTGTTTCCTGTTCACCTCAGAATTCACTATCACTAATACTAATGATTAAATTGAAGGACGCCCTTTGAAGATAATGAAACTACCATACGATAAGGAAGCTCACGCCAACTCTCATCCCACGTTTATCTCAAATCAATTGACTTGACAAGATTACATGAAGCCCAGCATCACCTAGTGACGCAACCAACTCTACAAATTGAACAAGTACCAGCGAACTATCTTTATCATACAACTATACCACTGTACACTATCATACTAATAAGTGTACTTGTAGTCTCAGGTGTCCTGATACTAAGACACTTTGGGTTACTAAAACGCCAGCCGAAGGTAAAGAACACCCCTACTCGAGATGACATCTACGCGAAGCCTGAAAATCCTGGATCGCAGAAGACAGCAATATTTCACCATCTCAAAATGCAGAAATAGTTGCTGTTCTCAGGGGGAAGGTGTTATATGGACGCACCCTTAGCAAATCGCAAGTAAGCAGCTGCCCCGTGTACTATTGCAACATCGTTCACACGAGGCAAGAATGCAACGTTGACGGAAAGAGGTAGCGACGAACTCAAAGGAGGCCGGCGCCATCCGACACTGCGTTTTAATGGGAATCTTCCACATTTCACAATTACTTCTTTTAAACATTATTACTGTGTCTCGGTCATTCCATATCTAGCATCGATAGGAACTAGACTAGTTTCTTTAGTAGTAAATTTAAATTGTAATTACATAAGTTTTATTTTAATTAAATTACTTTGAATTAATTTTGGTTTTTTTTGGGTCCTCCGGCGGCGACATCCATATTTCTATGGTAAATAGTACGAAACTTTGTGTGCGAGGCATATTTGCAGTTTGTCGGTATTGTTTTGTTCATAATATGAGAAACAAAGGAAAACTCTAATAAAGATATGATTTTTTAATTTAATAAAGTTTCCCAAGGTTCTGGTTTCAAATCGTAAGGTAACAGATTCTTTCGGTAGTGCAAGGCACAGAAGTTAGATCAATTGCTTGCCTGTAAAAGGGCCTATCAGTAAAACGAATGTGTTCACCCCATGTCACCCCTAGTACTGATTCTTCGTGTGCAGGTCCTACGCGTACATGAGAGTATTCTATTTAATGAAAATAACATGAGATAATAAAATATATTTAAGTACTTTTGTAAAGCAATAATTAAAAATAAATTCTATTGTTTTTACTATAAAGTTTGATATCATTATCATCGCGTCTTAAAGGAACACTTCTTGCGATAATATATGTAGGCATTTAGTATCTAGCATTTATATAACCAAACTTAAAGTTCAGCGGATCATTGTTTTTCGGCTGTTTGGCCAACGCGAGAAGAGGTTCTCGACGTTTCAGCATCACGATGATGAGATGTTAGCTCCTCGATTACTCGAAGAATTCAGACGTATTCAAAAGCCTTACACAAATTAATTATTTGTCCACAGGTGAAACGATTCCGAATGGAGACAAAAGCAGCAAAAACTTTAGGCATTATAGTGGGGGGTTTCGTGTTTTGCTGGCTTCCCTTCTTCAGCGTGTACGTGGTGCGAGCTTTCTGCGGTGACTGCGTCTCTTCTATTATCTTCTCTATATTATTCTGGCTGGGCTATTGTAACTCGGCGATTAATCCTCTCATATATGCATTGTTTTCAAAGGATTTTAGGTGAGATTTTTGTTCCATTCTAGTTCTCAAAAAAATAGCAATAAAAACAATTATTTTTCAATACTTTGCATCTGTGATGTATTTGACAATTGCGTTGTATAGTCTTTACCTTGCTCTCTAGAACTATCTTTTCTACCTACTTTTTGAAGAACAAAAAATACTGCTTTCATTTTAATCACTAATATTCTATCTTTCACACTAATTGAGCAGTCATAAAGATCTCGTAATTTTAAATGTATTTGTATAAATTGCACCATCAACATTTCTTTCTACATTTGCGTCAAGGTGCTTTGTGTACTACCCATTAAATTCTACGAACACAATAAATCCTTTCCCTAACTTTGAAAATTTTCCCAGGTTTGCATTTAAGAGGATAATATGTAAGTGCTTCTGCGCTGGTGGTGGTTCAAGGCGCGAGTCAGATGGTGCTGACAACGCGGTTGCAGTAAGAAGAAATAGGCCGGTGCATGCTCATTCACACTCTTTAGACGAGGAGACACACACACCAAACAATAATAGGTAATTTTCTCACGTTTCTCCTTTGTCGAGACAATTCTGTATCTGTGTAGAGCCAACTGAAGCTACTATTTTTTCCCTGGAATTCAAACCTAGGCCCGTCTAGATCTCAAGCCTATGCTAGGCAACTCAGTTTACAATTTAGTAACGGAGGCAGAAAGTAAAAAAACCATTAATTCATATAGGTAACTAGGTAAACTCATGAACGTCACAAAACTAAAAAGGTTATAGTATTAAAATACCTTGTACATGTTTGTATTAAAATACAACATAGGTATATGCTTTTTTCTTACCACAATTTTTTTGGATAAAAAACAACAAAAAAAAATCGATTGTTATGTATTTGACTTCTTTCCTCAATTTGTAAATTAGTATATACAATTTAATTAAAGATTTTCCCGTCATAGAAGCTGAATGTGCGCAGTTCGTATTTTATTTTAGCATTTGTTTTCTCTAAATTGTAGACATCTGGGCCAAAGAGATTACGCTTACGAGAGTAAATAATATTGACGTATACCTAGATATTTTTTTACAAAATTTGATGGCTTGTTAGGATAACTTTAAGGCGAGTCTTATTTTACGTATAGACTATAAAAACGCTAAAGATAATAAATAATAAAAAGCGTTCATTTTTTTTAGGTGACGTCAACCACTGCGGCGGCAAAATGCACACTTTCAAACGTCCGTCGCCTGTGTTTAATGTTATACGTATCCACACTAGAAAATTGTAACTTGTATATAGAAATAAATATAATAGTATACCATTTAATATATGTATGTATGTATATAAACTTAGCGGATATCGTGTATATATGTATTAATATTGATTATAAATAATGTAATAAAATGTAAAGCACTATTCTAAATGTCATAGATGTCATCTATTGATGGAAATATTTTAAAAACAATATATATACTTTATATATTAATAACTCTTCTCAGGAGTTTTGTTTTAAATATAAGACAATATCTAAATTTTATTTTTTATAGCCTATGTCTTTTTTTATTATAATATGTTTTTTTAGCCAATTTATATTTATAATGACATAATGAAATATGTGTTACAAATGTAATTTTTATTTATACTTATCAGTTTTATAGAAATATGTACCTTATGCAGTAAAAAGACTTTCAAAAAATAATATGGTGTGTTATATTTAAGGTGTAAATATATAGGATTAGCAATGTAAAAATGTATTAATAGATAAAATCTAGTCATTACCTTATGCAGAAAAAATATTTATATCAATTGCCTTACTGTATTACTTTTTCACGAAAAATGGCGGTGACAAAATAGTAGATCTATGTACTTTATGACTATTTAAGAATTTTTATTAACATATTACGCTAATATGATGAAAAGACTGTTGTGATGTAATAATTTATATTATCTAAATGTAAAGATGTTACCTATAAGAAAGCATTCTTATATTTCTTTTTTTTAATATGACATGAATTTGTCAATGTAGTCATCATTGGTGTCCCAAAAAAACAATAGAATAATAATCGTTGAGTGTTTTCTTTCATATCTTTAACGTCTTCATACTAAGGTAACAAATATTTTTTCAGTAGTATTTTTTCGGCTTTTGTTGAACAAAAATTTGTCCGAATAAACTTTATGCGGTTACGGTACGTTGAGACATTACTCTACGGCTATACAAGACTATGCTCGAGATGGCGCGCAAATACATTTTCTTTAATTTTATTCTTTTTAATAAATTGGCTAATATTATTTTATACTGTCTGTAGTTTATTGTTCTTTTTATTATGATCAATAGTTTTATTCTTTATTATGTTTAATTTACCTAATAAAAACGGGCTTTTGGGTCGCCACTGATGCAATGCCTGTAATACTACAGGTTTTTTAATAAACCTTAGTAATATTTTGGTATTTTTATATTTATTTGCTTCCTATCTCCTTCGAAAAACATAAGTTATTCATAAAAACGTCCTTATAAATATTGGTAGTGATGTAATAATATTATGTCATTGTACATAGCTCTTTATCCCAACGTACCATGTAGTTATTAATATTTAGTACTCAATTTGTGTCCACAGACCTGTAAGTTACTTTATTTATGTGTACCTACCTATTAAAAATACTATTCAATGTTATAACCCAATGTTTCATTTTTTATTAGAATAAAATACCATAACGAAACAATATAATTCAATGTAATTCCAAAACGCCTGTGAAGTGTATATAAATCCCATACTTGTCTGAATCTGTCTAATAAAAATTGACATACAAGTATGTTATAAAAATGTCGGGACTTTTTCGACAGTGGACATCCATTAGTGAATACTAATAGATGTCGAAATATAATTTTGATCAACTATTATAAAAAGGGGCGGCTGGGTAATCTTCTTGTCACTAAAATAGTTAACATATTATACTGGCTAAAATCACTGGTGGAATATTATGTCCCTGCTGTTCCTATTTTCGTCATATAAAAATACTACGTTATTGTATAACCTGTCCTAATGCATCAAACAAGATTGTGTCACGCATCTGTAGCATTGTAAACTGTCACTGTCAGATATCATGTGGATGTAATTTCGTATTGTCAGTGTATGACAATTTTTATTTTTAGTTTTTAGCAGACAGCGTTCGTGGCAAGGAGTTGTTTTGTTCAATTGTTTTATTTACCGCGAATTCACATTTTATTACTGCTATACAATTACATCTTTTATCATTGTGATAAAACTATGGACGGATTGAAGCTATTTGGCGGCGTGGAAGGGTAAGTTGGAAACATATTGTAAATATATTTACTTTCGAATGCATGGAAAGTAGAAAGTTTACCTTGTATACTCTTAGCTATTTTGAAATTAAGAAAATGATAATTGCTGAATATAAATAACACTTAAATTAAATTGTTCGAGCTTAATTACCGGTATACATATTGAAATTACGTATGCAGTCAAGTCATTGCAAAAAAATATTTCAAAATAATAAGTAAACATTGCCGGTGGGATATCAAATTCAATTATGTGGTTTGTTCTTTATCATCATTGGTATAAGTGCGACAATAGATGACAGGTTTACATTCGAAGAATGTTAAGAATTCACTTTACTTGTCGGCCTTCAGCATTTTTCGCGCTTACTTTTCAATATGATCAATAGTGATAGACTGTGATATTATATCCGTGATACAAATGTACTCTTAAATCGATGTATAGTCTGTTTAATAACGTTCAATTATAACTAATACTGAAATTTAATTCGTTTATGAACGGCCTTTTATATTTTTTTATTTTTAAAATATCGTTAGTTCTTCCTTTTTTAAATATTCTACAGCGAATGACACGGGAATTGTAAAAATATGTACCTAGTTTGTTTTCATTTCTTTTAGAGTGACGACATCGCATTCTGTATTACTCGAAAAAAAGTCTGTTCTACTTAGGTATATATATTACTATACTATGTCGATTACTGTCTATAGGGAATTTATGAGCTTAGTAAAATGATTAAATGATTTTTATCGCGAGATTCCAATTAATAGACATTGACTCTATAACCAGGGTCAAGAGAAGACCCTTGCACTATGCGGTTTTGACCTTACAGGGCATCTAGTTTTTGTTTTTAACACTATACATCGAACGTATATGGTACAATATACATATTTACATGTCATACAGGCATTTTTGGTTGCCTATTAATATTCACCTGTAATATGTACCCTTTAATTCAAATGACTTCACACGTAATCTAATTTTGATAAAAGGAAATCCCTTTACGTTGGTTAATTGTTTTAATCGTAGATATCACACACTTAAGGTACTTCCCGTTGTTAAATTAGTATTCTATATATTTTATCACTTATAGAGAATCGAGAATTTATTTATTAAATATATTGACATATCTTTAAATCCTTAATAAAATACCTATTATATATTAATTTAATCCGTTCAATACAAAATAATAAGTTACCTTTAAAAAAGTCGATTTCTATACCTATTTATATAATCAATATAAATATAGTCATATTAAAAATTCCGCAATCGTTAATTTTGAAAACTATAACACCGCACGATTTAACTATAAATTATTTTTGCTTATGCGCAACTTATCATTAGACACGCTTTCGCCACAGAGATAGATATCATATATGATTAAACAACTCGGTTATTTAAATTACAGAAAGATAAAAGTACAAATAATTGAGATCAGTAAATAATACTCCAACACAAGCACATTATTGAATATCAAACAAAATACTTCTGCTAGAGTAAACTACAATTTATCTATCTATTTGAGACATTATACATCTGTAGTTTCGATCTTTAAATAAAAATTTACCGGTTTAAAACGTTTTTCAAACAAGTTTAACTATATATATATAATAGTTAAACTTTTTGAAAATTATAGTCTCCCCGTTACCACAGCTGTTGCAAAGCATCCGAAACGTTGGGGTTAGGTTAAATTAATTGTCAGATCAGTTAAACTAATATATATCGCATTTAAATCGTAAGAGTGTTTCATTTAAATATTTCCAGTAATTATATATTTATTTATTTCCAGAAAGACGTAGAAGAATATTTAAAATGTTTAATATTGATTTTTACAAACGTAAGTTCAATTTTTATTGTGTCAACTTCATAAATATTAAAATTATTTCTTAAACGTTATATCTGTGACATACGAAGGTTTAAAGTTTGTGTTAAAATTAATGTTATCTTCTCTCCAATTAAGACCGCATTAAAATTCCTTGCAATATTATCAGTAACAACAGACATTTGATAGTAGGCCAAGGAAGCGAAGTGCAAGTAGTTTTACGTACTGAGGCTTTCAAAATATAGAACGTCAAATCGATGAATATACAATCTAATGAAATTCAAATTTAGAACCTCATTGTTTCGAAAACGTCAGCTTGGGTATAGCCATGGTCAAATACTTGTGTTCGGAAACAGTTGTATGTATACTTTTGAAACCGGTCGTCTGATCTTTACGCTGTCTGTACACAAAGCTAGAATTATATCTTTACTTGTTGAAAAGTAATTGTAATTCAAGCAACGTTATCATTCGCATTGGCATGCTCGCCTACACGACCTTTATCGTGTTGACACACCCACCGTACGCGTCAATGAAAGGGAACTTTTATTTACAAACTTTAAACCGATATTTTGCGCTTGATTAATTTTTTTAACGGATATAATCACTATTTATTATTATTATATAATCAAATTTTAAACTGCTTTATTGTATTTTACTTTGTACTTCGAAATAAACACTTAAATACACAATGTGCGCGTAAATTTAAATGTAAACTTTAATTTATAATAATGCTTCTTGAAAAGAGGACACAAAAACATACAAACACATACAAAGAGGAAACAAAAAAACATAAAAATACATACAAAAAACATATTACTTATACTCTACCTTTGTAGAGTGTATATTTTTGCGAACTTATCATTACACTCACGCAACTTTAACACATTTTCAATATTTTCTTATCTGTGAGAACATTCTTCTCTCCAAAAATTAAGACTGAAGTTTTTTTGTATGTTATTAATCGTCTTTTGAGTCATTTTACATGCAAATTTCGAACCAATAGCATCGATCTAACATATTATTACTACAAATTTTTTATTAAATAACGATCCTTGCGTTCTATGCACTTCATAATATAAAGGGACAAACAACCCATAATCTCTTTCAATATCTGATATCAATTTAATATCTGGTTGCATGAAAAATATTTTTATCTTACGTAATTATCATATTTTGTTATACCTTTCAAAACCCAGTGGTCTATGAATTATTAATATTATGACTGCCTATGTGAATCTGTTAAGTGTATTTTTGTTGAAGCAATATCTTTTTTCGAAATATAGATCAAGCCATAGCTATTTTCTTTTAGTTCCATCCACACATGGAACCCAAATTTTTTCGTTTACCGTTTTATCGCATCCCGAAAACCACTTGTTGTACATTACTTTTATTTAATCCATGGCATAAATAACACCTAAAAATTTTATCATTGATGTGACTTTGTTTCCTAAACTTAAATAAATTTATTATCAAAGAGATATACGTTAATATAAGTTGTGTATATGGCTTTATTAATTTATCGTCCATCGGATAAGATTATCTAAGTACGATACCTACATAGGCAATCAGTTATTATCTCCTTGAACTTGACTGTATTTTTCCCGATACCTTCAAGATTACATAAATACACATTTCCTATGTTACATGTACAATAATAATCGGTAAATATGTTTAATGCTAATCTTCGAATACCAACAGGAAAAGTATTTAATTAATTAGAACTTGTCTGTCGAGGTGATTGAAAGGACGAGGAATTTAATTATAGTTGTATAGTAATTCATCATTTAACAGACAGTCTTTATAACGAGATAAGGATGATTCTAAGTGCTAATACAACAAAACATACAGAAGGGATATAGGACTGTTCTTCAACAAACAAGTATTTTGTGTCTCAAAATGTTCTCTCAATTTCCAGAGGCGCAACACATTCAAACCTAGTTATTTGTGATGAGACTGGCAAAGTAGTCAGCAGATCAAAAGGTCTTGGGACAAATCACTGGATACTCGGCATTGAGGAATGTGCAAAGCGTATCATTCAGATGGTGCACACTGCTAAAGATGAAGCGGACATACCTAGAGATAGACCTTTGGATTCATTGGTGAATAACATTCTTAAAATAAATACTGTCTATAGCTTACGCGAGTAGTACACATTTAAATAAAAAACTTTAACGGTTTAAAACGCGATATATTAGTTAAACTTATTTAAAAATGATTTGGAACTATTTAGAAATCATTTTTAAATAAGTTTAACTAATATATTCGTTTTAAATTAAAGTGCCTTAAAACTGTAATACCTCAAAGTAACAATTACCAGTCATTTAACTAGTTCTATTGGTTCTAAAGATATAGAACCAAACAACCATTAAAACCGACATTGAGAACCATTAAAATTTGCTGATGAATCAAGGTAGGTAAATACCTACCTTGATTCATCAGCAAATACTCAGCAAATTTTAAGCAATGATAACGATTACTTACGAATAACACGTGGATATTGTTAGTGTCAATGTGTGAATGTAATTATCTGCTAGGGTCTGACGCTGTCTGGGTGCGAGCAAGACAGCAGCAATGCAGATTTAGCTAGACGGGTCAAGGAGTTGGACGAGAATAGCGCAAAAGCGATATATGTAGCGACGGATACTGCTGGATCACTTTTCACAGGCGCTCCTAATGGTGGGATGGTTCTTATAGCTGGTAAGTATTTAAGTATTATGGAAACAGAAGGTATTAAATGCGATCGTAATCATCGAACCGAATTTATAAGAACCTAGAGATTGTCTTATTGAATTGAATTGAAAGATTTGAATGATGTTCCAGATGAAAATTGTAGTGACATTAGATTCATGACTGATTATTTATTATTGCATACAGTTATTTCAATCATTACATACACAAAAATGTTAATAGAAATCCTAATACATATTTGTGTGTCAAGTCAATTGTCTATTTTTGACAAGTAATAGACTAAGATCTAAGTTATAACGGTGATCCCAGCAAGTGGATGATGAAACGCTACATTACGCTGCCCCTTGCTATTAATAAACGCAGTTGTGATCACGTGATCCATCTCCAGGCCAATTGAAGTGATTGCTTGTAGAGCTGATAAATTGACCAATTTTTACATTGACATGATTGACGACACGTTTTAGCAGAATTAGTTTATCCTTGAACCGGCCTTGAAAGTTTATATTAGCATGACCAATTTTAAAGCTCGTATAGGTTAGGGACCAATACATATAACTTATCAACTTAACATTATGTTACAATTTTTATTGTAATAATCCTTGATTCTTTCGCTGAAAAATTTATGAACAATTTAAGTCACGGACCACCATCCAGAGATTTAAAAGGTATGGAATAATTTTTCTTTCAGTTTGTCGTTGGATTCTGAGTGTCTAGATGTGGCAGGGCTGAAGTATTATATTAATCTTGCCAGCCCTCTGTAAATAAACTATAAGCTAATCTCCAAAAATGCAATCCTTTTTGAACTATAAAAAATATAATATTTTTTAGATGTTATTCCACATGAAGGCACTATATAATTTATTTTCGATTTTTAAATTTTTACATTTATGCAAACAGAGTAGGAAGACGGAGTGTACGACTGCGGACCTTGATAGGACATGACATAGTCTCATTTGAATATAGGACATCTGATAACCTTTCCCCTTGCGCGTTGATTTTGTAAATAGGGGCTGAAGGTTGCTTGCAAAAACTAAATGACGATAAAACTTGACAAGAGTATATGAGTAAGCCCTTAGACTATTCCAAACTTTTCAAATATACAAAAAAAACGTAAAACTAGTAGAAGACAGTTGAAACTTAGTGACATTGAATTTTGATATTTGGAATTCTGTGCATATCAATATGACCTTATCAAACTAGAATATCGGTAAATATATTATTTATATTCAGTTCGTGTATCCGGTTTGTTATTATCCAGAACCACATGCTTATAATTTCTCAATTTATGTTATTATCATATCATACATAACAATATGTAAGTTATGTCTTGCGATAAATTGTATGATTAAAAAAAAAACTATATTAGGCTAAAACATTACTTTTACCAATTAAAAAACATGTAATATGATATCAGCAAGTACGTGTTATATCAAGCATGTAATTTTGATAAATAATCGTATCTAAGTCGTAATATTTATATAACAGGTGCATTTTAATAAAAAATGAGAAGCCGACTTGTAAATATTGTATTAAATGTTTGCATATTTGAGTCTGTAAGTTCCCTTATCTTTAAACATGTATGCAGCGTTATAATTTATATAATTGTTTAATGTCAGATAATATAACTACGCTTTGATAATTTGTATAAGTTTAAGGATTTGTAATAAGTAAATAAAACTATCTTCGCGTTCGATGGAAACTAAAAAAAATAATGTAGCGATTTCTGACACTTATTTAAAAGTCTTTTTCATTCTCGCTATTCAATATATTAAAATTTATCTATAAACTTCTTTTTTTTAAACCGACTTCACTTGTTTCCTCAAGTAATACCTGAAACAGGTATACAAAAGAATACCTGAAATATCCAAAACAAGAGATCGGAGTGTATGAGCAAAACATGACGTAAACTGTAATCATTTAATAGTCGTTTATCGCTTACTTTTGCCAACACATGCTGCATTACACTGTAAATTACATTGGTAGTCAGCTTATTGCAGTATTATTTATTGTTTACATACAGCCATTTCTATGGTTTGAAATGCTAAACTTTACGTAATCTTGTTTTTCATATATTTTAACTAACTGAACAAAATATCTGGACGTAGTTAAAATAAATATAAGTTTGACTATTATATAGCCGCGTTTTAAACCGTTAAATATGTTTCTCAAATACATTTCAGCCGTTGGTGGTAATAAAGTCTCAATTGTGTAGAATTTTTAAAGTTTACGGACCTTAAGTCTTTAGCATCTTAATTGTTTTCACTTGATTAAACGGGAATTTCTGTGAATAATGTCGGGCAAGTTCATATATCTAAAAATACAGATTATTAAGCATCTGAATGTAATAAAAATATACTGTTAATATATATCGCGTTTTAAACATGTGTCTTATTTAAACATAGCATGACTTAATATATTTATTATATTAAAGGTACCGGATCAAACGCTTTATTGAGGACGCCCGATGGTCAGCAGTTTGGCTGCGGAGGCTGGGGTTACCTTCTGGGCGACGAAGGAAGTGGTTAGTTTTACATACTATTCTGGATTTATATAAGAGATAACACAACGCTAATGTTTGAGTAGTTAAGTAACATAATATGTTCTAATACCCCCAGAGTATAAATATTTTTCTTTAACTACCTGTGCCAGCAATTTCGTCTCAATTCCTTTTTTGCTGATAATATTGCGTTGTCCTACTCTTTAGAGAGTTAGGTAGTTGTTTGATATTTTCTTCAGCTATAGTGTCTGTTCCCATTGTTATTATTTTCCATTGGTAGACACACAGAAAGGGGTGGTCAGTCCATATTATCTCAGAACCATTACACCCATTTCCCCCCTTGCAAAGACATTGAGTTATCCAACTCTCATTATGTCCCTTTTAACCTTCGGGTTTCTTTGCAAAGTCTTATCATTTGTTCCATTACATTGCACTAGGATATTCTAAACATTACACATTTGTTTGACTTTGTAGCTTATTGGATCGCTCATCGCGCTATCAAGATCGTCTTGGACGAAACGGATGGCTTTCGTCCAGCACCACATTCTATTACCAAGGTGTGGGAGACCATCAGAACTTACTTCAAAGCAGAGACCAGACCCGACCTTTTCCCTCACGCGTACAAACATTTCGAGAAGCCTTTTTTTGCCGGTAAGTATTTGTACCATTAATTTTTTCATAAATTAAGTACTTATTGTATTTAAATTAAAATTTCAATGTAAAATGTTATCAATACGAGACGAAGGGCAATATTCGTTGTCAATTTATATTATTTTTGTGTTACTTGAAGGCTACCCTTTTATCAAACCAAAAACACGTCAAACTATAGTAAATTAATATTATCGTGTCATTTATATAATTATTATTAAATATGACAACGCTGTGTAACATACCTATAAAGTTTTACATGTGGAATAAACTAAGTCTATACCTATAAACATCAACCAAATAATTCTGTCTATACTGATATTATAACATTGAAGAGTTTGTTCCCTTGTTTGCTTATATGCGCTAATATCAGGAACACCTACTATTGAAAAAAAAATTGGATAGATCAGTTATTGAGGAAAACTTTAGGCTATATACATTACGCTGCAACCAATAATAGAAAATGTAGAACAAAAACATTAATCTTTTCGTTCAAATTCAATTTAAAAAATCGAAATACACGTAAGTATATATTTTTTTTTAATTATCTAAAAAATATCCGCGACAGTGTTTGTCTATTTTTTAAGATTGAATCTTAAGAACTGTTTTCAAGGTAATCAAACTTAATACATCATATATTAACTTCGAGTATTTGTTAATTTATATCAACATAATAATGTTAATCTTACAAACAAAACATTTATCGGATCTCATTGATATAAAGAGTTAATTATTTTTAATATAATTTCGATTATTAAACGCTGAAAAAATGGCATACAGTTCTTTTTTTATTTGTTTCAGGTCTAACAGCTGAGTTGTCCATACTCGCGGATGAAGGCGATGCCCTATCGCAACACATATTCGCAGACGCAGGTGCAGCACTAGCGTTGCACGTTGTTGCTCTCGCGTCGCGCAGCCAGAATGGAACGAGGCCTTTCGAGAACGGCTTAAGAATAGTCTGCGTTGGATCTGTCTGGAAGAGCTGGCATGCGCTCGCGCCGGGTGCGTTGAGCGTTTTAGCAGCGAGACGGGTATGGAGGCAATTTGAAAAGTATTTCTTTTCTCAGTAGTATTATTACAGAACAACTGGCTTTGTCGGCGACTTGTTCCGCGAAGTATAGTTACTTTGGGCATCAAAATTTGTTTGTACAAACCTCGTCCTCATCTTTATAAATTTGCTACGACATCGGTTGCGTCCCTCCTTCTCGCAAGTTAATCTTAAAAGATAGACATATACAGTCGTGGACATTTCTTTAGATCATCAAAGAGGAATCATTGCATATTTTTTGCGTATCTTGAACCGCTTTTGCAGCGCACACAACGAAAACTCTCAAAGATGAATTGGTTGGCCCGTTTTTACTATATTTCCGACTGTTTCTTATTGGTCGCATTGTGATGTTTCAATGCCTTCCTTGATAAATCATATGTTTTAATTCGAACCAGTAGTTCCTGAGTTAAGCACGTTCAAACAAACAAACATACAAACTCTTCAGCTTCTTATATCAGTATAAATACTTCATAATCATTAATTTAATTTCAGTTAAACATTGAATTAGAGCTGGTACGACTTCGTGTGTCGAGTGCTATGGGTGCTGCGTGGTTAGCAGCAAAACACGTGAACTTCTCCCTTCCCCGGGACGACTCGGCCTTCTGTGAGGTTTTCTACACATATAGACCAGATAATGGCAGAGTGAAAGATATTGACGGCTACGGTTGTGGCTGTAGCGAATTTTGGAGCTAAAATTTCTGAGGGTAGTTTTCAAGTTAGCATTTGAATGACCGTTACAAGTTACTGATCTAGAGTTCTATTACTAATATAACGATTCTCAGTTGAGTCTGTCTTACCAAGTATTGGTAGAATGCATCGAGATCTTTCACGATATTTTTCGTTGTAATAGCTCTGTAGTAGAACTCTTAGGTATCGGTCAAATTTCACTAGTCTCAGCGTTATTAGGTGTTTTTAAAGAAATTGACGGCAAATGTTGTAAATTATTATTATCGGTACGAGACACTACTACAAGAACATTAATTTTGACGATAAAAATCCATCCTCCCTTCGATTCATCTTCAAATTCTTATATGAGTGCTGTGCCAAATATAATCTTAAGATCATATTAATCAAATCGTTGAACATTAAAAAGAAATTAAAATTGATCTGAATTCAATTTAGATCTGACATGTTCATATCTTAGGATAATATTTGTAGGTTCTCATTAAAATGAAATACTTTCTCATGCGGAAATATATTTTTGATGAATTTTGTAGACATAGTTCCTATATTTCGTAGTGACCTTAGGTTACCTTTTATTTGTAAATAACGTTTAGTGTAACCATGTAAATGAAACGATCAAACATATATCAACGAATTGTTTTATCTGTTTGAAGCAGTAGAATAAAATCATATCTCACTAGGGACCAATGTATTTATCATGTAAGTAGGTTTCATGGATTATTTTGAACCTCATTTAGTTTTAGATTAGTTGATAGAAACATAGATAGTATTCTAAGCTCTACATATAAGTGTATTGAAATAAATATTTTAGGATATTTTTCATTACTTTCAATCCAAGCTTTAGTATAAATTATTAAATTTTTATAAGGGCGCCTTAAAGTGTTGTAAGTATTCTATCTGTAGTTTACGCGAGTAGTACACATTTAAATAAAAAACTTTAAGGGATTAAAACGCGATATACTATAGTTATTTTTAACTACAGCCCGACGTTTTGGATGCTTTGCAGGGAGACCATGATCACAATAAATGCTGTAAATATAGTTTCTCCCTGCGGAGCATGGAGCGAACAAACAACAGAATTACTGTTTGATATTATATTGTTATTTTGTCAGTTACTATATGTATTTGTCTTAGTTTTGCGTACGCAGAGCAGTAAGGTACTGTTAAGAATAGGTACCGGCTTCCTGTCTGGATATGTTTTGTAATATTAAAAAAAGATGTGCTATCGAGCTATTTCTGCTGGCTTAGGACATGCACATATGAGGAAGTAAATTAAAAATATCGAGAAAAATTAAAAGCGATTTAATGTATCTCTGGTGCGATGATTATAGTTGTTCTTAGCCTTCCCCGAACTACCTGCATCGTTAGCTTACCAGTAGAGTTTTCTAAAACCGAGTACAAATCGGTAGCGCTTGTTACTGGTGTACCATTAATGTGGGTCACTATGTCACCTGGCTGCAAACCGCCACTGAAATTTAAAAAAAAATTGGGATTATTTTAATTATATAAAATTTGTATATTTTGACATTTTGTTACATAGCATGAATTAAAGGAAACTACATTTTTAATAAGATTAACGAGAGTAAGCATAACAGAACATTGTCGTCTCTCTTTTTGTGGACTTGGGGAGTCTAGCTGGATCTTAGGGGGACCATTTCCCCCGCCGAAAAAGGCCAAACTGACAAAATAGTAAAAGATAAATAGGGTTTTGCAGAAAATAGTGGCTTAAGGGGATATAGAGCTGGATAACCCAATGTCCTCCGTAAAGGTGGATGGCATCTCTTCTATTAAAATAGAAAGTAATAAAATGTGAAATGGCCAATTACAGGCATATTTTCAATTGCAAGCAGAATCTAGGTTCTAAACGTATTATATAATACTTACTTGTAAGCAGGTGAGCCGATAATCACTTTCCACACAAGTATACCATTTTCTATATCAGTGGGCATCTGAAAAAGGCCAAACGGGTATGTTTTATAATCTTGAACTTTTTTTAAGTATTTGCCATTTGTTCACTTTGTGAGGAGCACGAAGTCCGAGCGTCGATTTTAGTTATATATAGTAAGAAGTTTTCACTTTTCCCAAATCCTGAAAAGTGAAAACTATTCTTTGCTTTGCTGCTCTGTCATTATTAGGATCTAACATTACTTAACTGGACATCAAATCTAATGTAATAGACTTATGAAATCATGCGAGAAAGCTAATAAGTTTTGTCGATAACAATCACTTTTACTCACTTCTGGATTCCTCATACGTAATTCCATAAGAATATTCGGAGTTAGTGACAGCATTGTTATGCCAAGGTACCGTCGAGACACCTGTGGAGATTTTGTTTTCCCTGAAAATTTGTAAAATTAATTATATATTTATAAATATGCCAGAACCGTCATTAGGACGTCTACTGAAAGCGAAACGAAGTGTGAAGTTAGCTCGTTTTGACTTAACGGTTGATGAGAAATGGTGGCCTTTTCAAATTGAACCATGATGGTTTGAAATATAACCTCTAATTATCTAAAAAGCTTCCTTTAGTATTCAACCTGTCAGTTCATCATCACAAAATGGATAATAGGTAAGCCTCCATCTATTATAGATGTTGTTAGATACTTATTTATGTTGTTAATACTGAGATGACGTCATCAATGGGGATAAGCATTGGTGGCAAGGCCCCATAAGCGCGTCTCTATGCACCTAATTTCAAGAGTTTGGTTGAACCAACAAGAGTGACTCTGCCCCATTGAATAGTCAATCTGCCTTTCTTTCAAATCATTCAGTGTTGTGTTATTTGTTAAGTCATAAGTAGGGTAGTTAGGTTTTCGTAATTTAATTTAATGTAGAAGTGGAACTGGTTAATAATTACTGCCCTTTTGTCATTGTATTTAACTTGTGGCCTCAAAAAATACAATATGTAATAGGAATAATGCAAAAATATATTTATTTAATTTTATGTCTTACAATATCATAAAGTACTGCTGGAGAACAATATTTGTCTAAGCTCAATGAAAAACTTGAAAGTAGTACTAAAACGTGCCTGAACAAATATCCAAGTCGCTGACTTACTTTTAGCTAGAAATTCCTTCACATAGTCAATAGGTATGGCAAAAGATATCCCAGATGTGACTTTCATGCTGTTTATGCCAATTGCTTCTCCATCCAAGTTTACAAGGGGCCCACCACTGTTTCCAAATGTAATTGGGGCATCCGTTTGTATGTACACCATATCTTTACCTAGAATTAAATTTTGGTAAATAGATTTTAAAAGCAAAAGTTAATAAGAATGTTTGTAATTCTTTCACAGTTAAAGTTTCAGTTCTTGCTTCTTAGTTTTGTTATAGCTAACATTACAAACAGGAATAACATATTATACACATTTTTTTTAAATATATGTTTAAGCAAGAGGTTTAATAAATACCAATCATTTTTATATTTATGTTGAAAATTCAAATCGCATATTCTTATATATCATAATGCAAACTTTAAAGATATCATGGTATTCTTTTTACCTTGTATTCCAAGTTCTTTACTGGCCCTTTGAGTAGAACTTACAACTCCCGCAGTAACTGTATTACTTAGTGCAAGAGGGCTACCCATCGCCACAACCTAAAAAATAAAGTCTTATAGCAATTTAAAAAAAGTATAGATTCTTTAGTCACTACCTAAATATTTTAACACAGATATCAGGATACTGTAGCTTCAATGTGTGATTTTTATTTAAATTTTGTAATAAAAGTATGTGTTATTCTTCAAATTTTATGTTAATATAAATGTTTGTGTGTTATAGTTAAATACAAACCCACTCGCCAGGTCGCAAGTCTGCTGACGAGCCTAACTTCATAACAGGGAGGTTTTTCACTGGTATCCTAAGAGTGGCAAGGTCTGATTTTATATCAAAATCTTCTACAAAACCTATGTGAGTTGAACCATCCTGAAATTTTACACAATTTTTGTATTAATGGCTCTTAGAAGGTAGTTTGATCCAGATACTAGGCCAGATTATATGCTGTAAATTTTTACTAACATCTTAAGAATTAGAGCATTGCAAATTTGGATTATAGAAATATAAAATAGTTTTAATTCAGCAAGACACTAACGTCTAATCAACCACTTAATTGTAAATAAAAGAGAAGAGCTGTTTTCCCCCATATCCTTTACCAGAAATCTCCTACTCTACTTCTCCAAGTCTACTCTACGACAACGACTCTCAACTCTACATCTACTTTTACGATTGTTCCTGACGCGATATTTGGAACATATGGATTACATATTGCACAACTTACCATAAGCCTAACATTTACAACAGCATTGGGTTTATTAACAACGACGTGGGCGTTTGTTAGGATCAAACCATCTTCATTCACAATAAAGCCGGAGCCATTTGATATTGTAATAGGTCTACCAGAAAATAGGTCTAAGCGTCTACCATCCTGAATCTCTATATACACCACAGAAGGTGCTGATACAGCAACGACATCAGCTATGAAGTTATATGTCTCCCTCCTACCGGTCAAACTTAGAGTTGCTGCACTAATTTTCTCTTTTAGAGTCACGTAACCCAATACCCCAGCAGCCACAGCCAAAACACCACCAAAATAGCGTTTGCCCCGAAATCTCTCGTCATTGTTTTGATTTGAATACTTAACGGTAGATAAAAAACGACTAGAACGTCTTAGATTAATATGTTTAACAGAATCATTAACATAAAATCTTGTTACAATTCGTGCAATATTTATCATTTTGTTGACAAAATGAATAATTTTGAATTTTACGATACATGGCTCTATGCGGATGACAGCTGACAACTTTGATATCAGTCGATTTGTCCATTGTCATGTTCTAAGATTTTTTAAATAATATTTTATGACTTGGTAAGGAGGTCTTTGAGCCAAGGTAATATTTCATATCATTACGACGAAGGAAATAAAGTATCAAAAACATTATTTTTATTCGTACTCTTCATTTTTTAACTCCGGCATTTCCAATCTGATTTTGCTCTCGACTTTTCCCATAATAAGCTTGGATTATACAAAAGGTGGTTTAGTTTAGACTTTATACATTTAAGAAGGCCTTTTTTAAATAATTTATTCGTTGGAGTCAATTACATAATAAAAAGTTTATAATTAAGTATATTATGTAAACGATTTCCGAAAAATTATTAAATCCGTGACGATTCTAGTTTTCTGAAAAACAAATCAAATTATTATTTAGTTAAAAGTATATATATCATCCTATCGTAAAATTTTAAAATGGGAGGTTAAAAGTATATAGTTATTTAATAAACAGCGACATTGTTAGTATATCTTACTTTTCTTTTTGTGTTTGCCTATTCTGGAACTGACTGTGGGAAACGCGGAGTTAGTCAATGAGCAATTTAATTACACCTATTTATAAAAATATAAGATATCCAACTTACATTTTGCAGGTAGACCTAGTTCTTGATATTTTATAGTGACTTCGCCTATAAAAAGTATTATGTTATATTCCTTTCTGATCAGCAAAGATACAGAAAAAGGTAAATGTATAGCCAGACCTAAAATAACTTCGGAAATTCAGTTGCACGTTTGAAGATGATAAGGCTATTTCCGCTTTCAATATAGTTCATATGAAAATATATTTGAATATTCCAGCACCACAATAGTTTTGGACGTTATTAAAATTCACCGAGAGATTTTGAAATATTTGTTGCTTCCTATGAATATCTATAATAATTTTCAAAGTATATTAAATTTTACCTATCATATATTATAAATTGGACTTACCCCACGGCGTCACTGTTATTAAAATAGATAACATTTTTCATTATATTTCATTAGAAATGACACAGTCGTTAAAATAATTATTCATGTGAAGATGAGTAAAGTCCTTTTGTGCCCTGCTTGTAAAAAAAATGAATGAAAAATAAATTCTTTAATTTACATAAAAATACAAATTTTAACTTACTATCAATATCGTTTATTTTAACATTGTGCTTCAATTCGAGAGCTGAAAGGACAAATAATTTGGTTTGACGCAAACAAAACATTACAAATCGAACAGTTTCGAATTTTATCACTTCAAAGATATTAAATTTTACAGTCATGTTGATTGGTTATTATTAATTAATTAAATATCTCACAATCGACCAGAACTTCTCTCATTTGACAGAATAGAGCTGAAAAAATCATCATACTTCTCCAGTGTCCGTTGGCTGCATTTAAGAACTGCCGCCATAACATTATAATAAAGGTGAGGCCACTATAATAAGGTATATAAAATAATATGTATGAAAAGCACTGCGCTCTACAGATACCTTTAATCATGGGCTGCATGCTTTGTATTGCCTGCACAACTCCTAACATATTTACCAAGGTGTCGACGTATTTTTTTAGATCCTTCACCCATTCGGGCTCTGGTGGTGCTATATGTAAAATATAAAAAAATATAAACTATTACAATATACATTAACAATAGGATACAGTTTGGAATCTCGCTACCGTTCTGTTATTAAAAAAGTATCTAATACCGTCTGTAGTTTACGGAAGCAGTTCACAGTTAAATAATATACTAACGGTTTAAAACGCGATGTATATTAGTGAAACTTACTTGGAAAAAAATTGATTTGCGGGCCGTACTTAAAATCACGTTTTGAACGGTTAAAGTGTTTTATTCAAAAGTATCTGCGCTGGTTATTAATTTTTGTCTTCTACAACCCCGAGATTAAAAACGTGTCTTATCTAACTATCGCTTCTGAGAATACGAATCATTCAGGTGGCTCTAGTCTCGTGTAAGATTGCTTTTAAAGATCGTATTCTTTGTTCTAAGGTAAATTATATAGGTATATAAAGTTTGACGGGCTGGGTATACTCGATGGGCCGTAAGTTCGATTCCTACCGGGTCTAACGTGTTTCTAATCAATTTATATTTTTTCTGAATCATGTTAGACATCTTCTGGAAATCCGGATATTCAATGGGTGTACGGTATCCACAAGCCACAGATGAAAATATTGTGAAGTTTAATTGCATTTCGGTTTCTGGGGTATTTCATCGCGTTTCGGTCGTTGGGGTATGTCATCTTCGATCACGAGAACGTCTATTCTCTTCTGTTATAAAAAAATAGTTATTTGTCATACAGAATCAATTCATGTCTCTTTAAAAATATGACACCACTAGGTATGTTTTTTAATGTTGCACGTTGATAAACGGATACGGATTGATAAAGAGAGCTATGAAGAAATATAATATTTTCAAACTTATTTATTTTTACCTTCGGTTCTGGCCCTGTTTTTTATAAGAACATCATTAGGTTTATGTTCAACGTCCGCTACACCTGTATAAAATTCAGTATTTATTTGTCAAAGAAGAGATACCACAGTAGGTTTTAAATTATATACTAAGTTTCATTAAGCGCTAACTTTGTGATATATGATAATCAATAAATAATGGTAAATATGCTAAGTATTAAGTATATACCTGAAGAGCTGAATACCCACAACCAAATATTTGCTTATGGGTTTAGCGGATTCATATATTTAATTTAAAACCTACTGTGGAATCTCTTCTTTGACAAATAAATACTGGATGTTATATATGAAAAATAAATATGAAGGAAACAGTTGTTTCATATTAAGTAAAAATATTGGATAATATTTCCTAATCTTATCATTTGATCACAAATTTTTTGGTACATGCAAAAAAAGTCACAATATTTCTTTGTCAATATTATTTGCAAACATTGTTATTTATACATACCATCTTTGTTAACTGAAAATTATTATATCTTGGTTTTATAATATATTTATAAGATGAATAAAATTTGGTATGGCTTTTCGACTCAACCTTTGACGTGCAACATAACGCCAGAGTTCTTTTCTGTATCTGAAATAAAAATGTGGTTTTAAAAATATTCTTAAATAAAAGTTGCTAAATATTCGTCGTTAGTAATTATAAATAAGAACTTATTAATTTAATTAAAAATATATTTAAAATAAAAAAAACCGACATGGTTAGGACTTGAACCGGCAACCACAGCTTTCCGAGCTGCTGCTCTAACCAATTGAGATAGAAAAAATCAATAGAAGTAGATACTTAATTTATCTAACGCCATTATGTTCAATAATAAAATTTAATACTTATTTAGTGTTACTATTTCGTACAGCTTGTAACTATCTAAAAATATTTCCATACCTTCGACATATTTCTCTATGTAAGGCTTAGCGTCTTTATAACCATAGAGTATAATTGCTTCATGAATTTTCTGTCGCATTGGAGTCAACCAATTCAATTCTAAAAATATAAGTAATAAAAAAATAAAGTTTAAACAAAAAGAAACTTTGTTTCCGCCCGGGATCGAACCGGGGACCTTGTGCGTGTGAAGCACACGTGATAACCGCTACACTACGGAAACTCATCTATAGTGTTGAAATTGCAAATTGTATGATTACAGCAAAAACAAACCTGGTTTATTTTGTATTGTAGTTTCATTTGAAATTCTTAGATGTTCTGTGCCTGTCAATAATTTCGTGACAATTTAAATTACATTATATCTGCGATAAGGACAGATGCCGTGTTATGAATAAAACTTACTAGAGTTCAATCCATTTGTAGTTATAAGATTGAATGACCATGTTATCAGCTGTAACAAAACATTGTGCATTATAAAAAAAATAATCGATGTCAGCAGTGGACAGACTAGCGTGGACTTCTATTTTTTAAAAAAAAAATTTTAAAAGGTAAAAAAAAAAATAATATTTTAAAAAATTTTAAAAAAAAATTTTCCTTCGGCCCCCCCCGGGGGGGGGGGGGGGGGGGGGGGGGGGGGGGGGGGGGGGGGGGGGGGGGGGGGCCCCGGGGCCCCGGGGAGGGTGGGGGGCCCCCCCCCCCCCCCCCCTCTTTTTTTTTTTCCCCCTCCCCTTCCCCCCCCCCCCCCCCCCCCCCCCCCCCCCCCCCCCCCCCCCCCCCCCCGGGGGGGGGCCCATTTTTATTTTTTTTTTTTTTTTTTTTTTTTTTTTTTTTTTTTTTTTTTTTTTTTTTTTTTTTTTTTTTTTTTTTTTTTTTTTTTTTTTTTTTTTTTTTTTTTTTTTTTTTTAGCGTGGACTTCACTTGATGGAACGTGACATGTCCCAGCTATATAACATGGTAACAATATTCGCTGTCGATTTTGGCTTTGGATAATCGTATATCCACTGACTGTAACCGAAACGCGATCAAACTACAAGATTTTTATCTGTGGACAGTAGTTCGTGGCTAGAACGAAACAAAATTTATTTTTTAATATAGTGAATAAATGTGAAAATTTTGATTGATATCAATTACAATTTTTTACTGTTCTACCAATAATTATTAAACCAATATAAACAACTTACCACATAAAAAAAGCAATGCACAAACATTCTCGCAGAAGCTTACATCATTAAAATCAAAGGAAGAAAAGCAATTAATTTTAAAGTAATCGAATTTTAGCTATTGCATTTTTTATAGTTTGAGAACACACTACGTTTTGTAGATTATAAATTCTTGTTTATATACCTGTTGTTCCTATGTTGTTACTTATTTTATCAAATGGAACACTTTTGAGTGTTTCATACGCGACTATTTATTTATTATGACCAAAACAATTTTATAGTAAGAGATATATGATATAAAGGGGTATATTAAAAAACTTTGCACATAAAAGTAATATAAAACAAACATATCATGTGTGAAAAGGAAATTGTTAACTTATTTTTAAATATGTCCTTACGATTAACATCGCAGGATT